TAAAGTTGCCATTTCTGAAAATACAAACCACACTGATCCACCTCTTGCTCTTTCTTCTACTCAAGCATATATTGTAAAAATCGTTAAAGCTAAACAAGTACACGATAATTGTGCAGCTTCCTCCCCTAAATCTCAAAGTGACAAAACTAAAACTGAACCAAGTAACGATTCTCAAATTCAAAAGCCCAAGGTTGTCATTAAAGACCTTGACAAAATTAGAGCATAAACTATTCATCACGTTCAAAAACATCAGATTTATGGATCACCCAAAAAAAAAAAAGGAAAAAACCCAAAAAAAAAGGAAAAAACAAAAATTATAGTTACTGAGCTAGGAGTCATATTTATGGATTAAGCGATGTTTTGTATATGGGCATATAAATATAATTTTCTAATAATCCCGCATTAGATTTCATATCAGAATCGAATAGATTATAGATGCATTACTCAACTTCCCATCTAGTCAAATTTAGCAAAAAAATCAGGAAATATAACAAAGAAATGATGAAAGAAGAGTATGCTAAACATTGTCACAGTAGAATAACCATAAAAGGTAACGAAATAAAGTAAAGAAATAGAAAAAATACCAAGAAAATCAAGAGATTTTATACAGTATCTACAGAACCAGAAAGCGATTTCCGATAATAAGAGAGGCAGAGGCAGTAAAACGCAAATGGGTTAAAAGGTGCAAGGGATAGACCTAAAAGCAAGTCTTTTTAAAATTTTCGGCACGTTAATGACGTTAATCGCTAGATTCGATGAACAATCAAGCAAAATCACCCAAATTCAAAGAAAATAATAATAATAATAATAAAACTGTAAAAGACAAACAATCATGTAGTGATCCATTGTTAATTATACAGGTTTTTGGTTTATGTGTTTTTGGGCAAATGTGAATAGTAACTAGTTTTCATTTTAGCAAAAAGACTTCAATAATTTTGAATCGTTGTGAAATCTAGTGTTCTAGGTGGCGATGGTGGTCGACTACAAAGGAAGAAGGTAGAGGGTCTTCTGCTTTCACGCACAGTAATGGAAAATGGGTTGTTTCGTTGTGTTTTTTTCAATTTTGCCGTGTTTTTACTGAAAATGCACAAAACATCATTTTAAACGTTTTGTGTTTTTAGTACATTTTTTTTTTTGTTTTCGAAAAGTCATTTTTGAAAATGGGAAAGAGAACATGTTTTTACGATTTTGAAAAATCGAAAATAGAAAACGGATTGAAAATAGCATAAAGAACAGCCCCTTAAATTTTAAACCCAGTGTACTACATTTCATATAATTTACTTTCATTAAATCTCGCTCTCTATTTTGAGTAAAGCATTTATATCATGATCTCAATTAAATCTTTTTTATAGTTTGGATTAGATTATTATGTAAAGGTATATCTATAATAAATGAAGATAAAGATTTTAAAGTAAAATCACATTTTTTAATGGTTATTTAATAGTATTAGATGTATCGAAAACTGTTTTAACAATGATATCATAGTTGTTTTGTATATTATTAATTTATTATTTCAGAAGTCTAACAATGAAATTAATTAAATGAATAGAAATTGGAAATTTTTTGAATCGCCACATATATGAACTCAAATCGTATACACTTTAACTTTCGGGTGAATGGTCATATTGTCAGTTGCCTTCGGTGCACAGTATAGGATAAAATTATTACGATACAACGGTTATTGTTGACAATATCCATATTATTTTTATTTTAAATTTTTTATTTTTGAATACTATCAAATAATGTTGAATATGCATTGTCAATTTCTCAACTCTCAAGTGTTGAAATTAAAAACACAACGGTTATTTTTGTTATTGTAAAAAATCATCAACCTACTTTACTTAATATATTTCCAATGTTAAAATAATCACCATAATATGTGGTGAACATAGCACAAACACAAAATTCTCTAGATGGGAAAGTTTTTTCTCATTCATTTCGTTGGACTATAGGAATATGATAAAATATGAACAAATATACTGTAATTTATCTCAAAGAAGATAAAAAGAATTAAGGAAACACTACATCTCAATCTATAATGATTTTGATTAGGCATTTAATTGTCATGATTTTTGAGAAAAAAATAATAATATATGAATTAGATAATTAAGGGTTTAACAAGGGTAAACTATTTATTTACAGTATTTCCAATAGACTTTATATTTTTAAAGATTATTTTCCCAACTAACTCTTTAAGGGTTGACTCTTTGAAATAGAGAGCATATTATGTTTAAAGTTCTTGGAGATGCTCTTAATCCTTAATCTTTTCCAAAAGTTATCTCCAGCCAATTTTTCCTCTCTCTCTCTAATTCTCAACTTGCGAGAAATTAGCAAAGTGAGGTATACCTGACTTTTGATGAATGATAAAATAGTCCATCTATTTAAACCCATTAAAAATAAAATAAATAATTTTGGTACACAAAATTATTATAGTTTATCAAACAAATTTTAAAATAAGAAAATATTATTTCTTCCTCCATGAATTCCACCACTAAGGCCCAACACTCATTACCATCCCTAGCGTGAACAACAAAGGGAGAAATCCCTCGATATTTTGCAAATACTGAAATAAAAAATGGTATTCATGAAAATCAAATTCGAAATGGCCTAGATTGGGTGTGATGTGAAAAGATTGATGTATTTGTTTTAATTTTTCTTTTATATTGCTTTTAGTCTTTGGATTAAGAGTAATGTTATTTGTATATAATGATAACACTGAAAAGAGAAGAAGAGAAAAAAGATGGAAAGAAAAGAAATTCAATTATCATAATCATTCTCACTCTTTTATGCTGTCATTATGTATAAATGACATTACTCTTGGACTAATTGCCTTTTTAAAAGATGGACTCGGCATCTAAAATGGATGGAAGTAGTGAAAAAATCCTTAATATGCCAATTTAAAAAAAAAAAGAATAGGGACAAAAACTAGAAAAAAATTAGTTATGAACAAAATTGCAACTTTTAAAAAAGAACAGAACTAATATATTCAATTTTCTTATAACAATCCAAAATTAAGGCCCATTTTGACAACCTTTAAAAATTTATAACCCGTTTGGCTCCCATTCTCATCCCATTTTTTCAAAAGATTTCAAGCATTTGTGGACCCCAGTGTTTATAAATATGTTAACAAGTCAACACATGACCCAAAAAATGAAGATACATTGACACCAACAGATGAACTACAGCCATCAAATGCGTTGAAAATGGTAACGCATTTTTCGAACACCAACACACGAAGCAACAATATAAAAAGAAGTGCACATAAACTTCGATCAATATAGCCCCCGTTGTACGACTACTAATGTAGTACTTATACCATATAATCATGTAGTTGTTGCCACGAACATGTCCTCTTCGTCGATTGCATCTAGCTCACGCGACAGTTTCATCCTGTTCATCGAGAAGGTCAATTTCAACTTCATCATCATTCACTTCTTCGACTATTCGAAAACCCTCATCCGGCCGACCGTTTCTCATCAGGAAGTTATATATTCCTATTGAAGCCACAACCACATTAATTTGCACTCTCATACTGTAAGCTGACATTCAATCTAGAATCTTTAATCTTTGTTTCCAAACACTGAACGATCGCTCAATAATGTTATGACACGACGAGTAATGAAAATTAAACCGCCCGTGTGCATTACGAAATCGACGACGTTGTCCACCAGCAGAGTTCCCAAACTCTTAGAAATGATATATTATATCAGACTCTTTAAGGGAGCCATATGCTAAGGCCTATATGCGAACTCGAGTAAAAAAGGTAATATTTCCCATTCGCGGGTTGTGGAAAATTGATTTTCGGACTATGTACAGCTCGGGCCAATATGCGACTATCGTGCATATTCCCTGTTGTTCCTGGAAATACGAACGTAAAACAGGATGACGTCGTAGGTTGTAGAAGGTTCTATGTTGGAATACTCTTTCTTCCAATGAAATTCTCTCTTCTGTGACGCGGCAACACAGCTCCGATGTGGGTACCGTCAATTACCAATGCAATACTGTAATTACACGAATAAATAAAACCATTCTCGGGTTCAAAATATTCCTCAATTTCGCAGGACAACAAAAAATTTTAATATGGAATACGTGAAGCAAACCTGAAATAGGAGATAACGCTTCGGATTTGAGCAATGGTGGGCTGCATCTTTGTTGTACAATGGATCTGGTTTTATCATGGTTGTCGCGAACATTAAACATATATACATCATCGTCTTAAAATAGTGTGATATGGTCTGCAACGAGTAACTGAACCGAGTTTACACTTGTCGATATCATTTTTTGTGCGAAAGTATACACAAGAACATTTCCACTTGTTTCGTACACGTCAATATTCGTGCTGCTTAAAATGCCATACTCATCACGAAGAATGTGCATAAAGTGCATAAACATGCGCAAATACATCCTAAATTCCTGGAAACAAGTTTGCGGATAGACATGCAAATCTTGTAGCATGAAAATGTGGCCACACCGCTTAGTCGAGAATAAATATCGACGAGTACTTGTAAACAATATGCTCGGCAACTCGTGAATATTCGAGTGATGTGGTAATGTCCTCCTTTAACTGTTGTATCATGTATTCTTCAGAACTCCATTCGTCGTCAGACATCAACTCAATGTTGCAATCTGTTTCCAAACATAAGTACCCCATTGAGTCGTCGGACATCTCTTTTGATTACGTTGACATGAAGTAGCGACGAATCTAATGACGTGGATGTCAACAACAAATTTGATGCTTAGAAACAATATGTAACGTGGGAGAGTGTTTGCAGATTTTTTACAATTCGATCTTGTCAACAATCTTACAACATGGCCATGTGTTTGCATTTGTTATTTATAGAATGCAAGTGATATTAATGATGGCCCTTTTGAAAAGAAAGTTTGAACATTAAATGAAAACACAATCAAGTTGCAGGGAATATATTCCCTGCCAATTAAAATGTTGTTTTCCATTTGTTCACAACAATTACATGAGCAAAGGAATATGACAATAGTAAAAATACAAATCATAACCATGAAAATAGGCTAGTTTCACATGTGCCACAAAAAATTTCTCGCAGGAGAATTCAGATACAGCTCTAGTATACCGGTAATATAAATAAAAGAGAGAGAAAACTGCTGATCACAGTACCCTAATACTGTACAAATCACCCCTTTCGCTAAAGCGATATATTGTCTCGCTTGAAGCAGACTCCACAAACTTGAAGCGCAGAAATGGTGTCTTGGCAGTACAATATGAATTGTGATTATCTTTGTCGCGAAAGAACCACAGGGCGAACAGGTGAAGCACATCACCCTCTTTCACATACATAAATGATAGAAGTTTGTCAACGTACTCGACGACCGGCATTCCTCAATTACGATATGATCTCGCAATTGAGGCAAGATTGTTTTAACACTAACCATCTGCTCAAGTGATGCAAAAACATCTCGCGCACTGTACCTTTTTCTCTTTTATTTATCTCTCCGTTGTTTGCCTTTTCGTTTATCACCACTTCGTTTCCTGGATATATTCATGGAAGAGTTTCCTCTTTCTTTGCTTGGACTTCCACTATAATCGGTTCCCTTCACGTTGATGGGCAACTTATCACCTCCGTCCTATTTGTCACTGTCTGTACTCAGGTTGAAACCACTATATGATAGCTTTGTTGGGGACAACACGTACTTCGTCGCGTCGTCGTACAATTTTCCATACGTGTTGTAAATCTCGTTGTAGTCTAACGCTTGTACTTCATATATTTCGGGTTATCTTGAATGCACAAAAAAGACAGTAAATGAACTTTGATGCAAAAATAAATAAATAAATTATGTGCATGACTGCATGAACGTCAAAACATGACGGAAACCTCAATCGAATTCAATTAACAGCAAAGAACTCATACATAAATTGGCAGCAAAAACATCTTTCTATTAATCTAAATCATGTTATGATGCTAGTATTTGCACTTATTTGTAGATGAATATATTTGTAAAATTAATGGAATTTTTTTTATCTTGTACTCAATTTTTCTTCATACTAACTTCCTATAACCTTTAAGTTTACAACAGGAGTAGGTTAATTGTCATCAAGACCTCATCCACGAGAAGACAAGAATCACAAAATTAATTGATATAGAAATATCATCTATTGTGTGTATATACCACCATAGCAACAGCACGTTAGTATGTTGAAATTAAAATCAAACACAAAATTTAGAAGTATTTGTCATAAGCTAATAATCCCGAATCACACTCAAGGAATACCAGCCCAAAAACTCAAGTAGAAAAAACATCACAACCAGTTATCTTCTCTGGGAAAATGTAGAGGTTTGCGAAAACCCTCTGAAAAGCAAAAAACTTTATCGTAAATGAAGAAAATCCCAAAGTTTCTTGCTTATGAGTAATATATAAAACCACAATGGTTAAATTAAATTAATTTTCTTGTTTGAAATTTTCACTCCTAGTAAACCATTCATGAAAAGAAGGTCAAATAAGAAGAAAAGAAATAAGCTTGAGACTAAGAAACAAGTTACTACAGTGACAGCATCGGCAATTCAACGATAGTTCAGGAGCGAGTAAATCGTTTCAAATGTGATTGGTGAGCACATGCATACATTTAACTGGTTTTAATTCAAAATTATATTATCGATGTGCAGTTGTGGACTGAAAGTAGAGTTGTAACGCTTTCTCAAAACTGAACTCGAAAAATCCAGTACCTTGATTTTTGCTTCCCAAAATGCTCAGGGGCGACGATTGTATTGGTCCTTGAGAGGTACTCAATTCTTGTGCATTGCAACAGTTCAAATAGGAGTTCTTCATTTGCGATATAGTCCAGTTTTTTCCAAATGACTTGTTAAACATTTTTGCGATACTTTATCATCCTTTTGTGGAGAAGCATTTGTCTTGTCGGCGGCCTTTGACAATTACAGTTTTGCAAGTGGCAATGACTACCTTGCACTCCGACGAGTTCCATTTCCCAGACTTTCGCACCGTTGGTTGTGGATCTTGAGGGTTGGATGGCGCAAAGTGCATCAGATCTGTGCCACCATTGGTGTTATGTTGCAGGGAAAATGTATGAGAAGGAGTTCGGTGAAAATTGAACAAACGAAGAACCTGAATTAGTCGCACACGGATGAAGGGATGGGGAAAAATTCTGAGACTACTCTCAATCTTGCGACATTTGAAGAAATGTAAAGACACATGTCAAATGCAAAAAATGTTGGCAACTTTCACAATGAATAGATTTTACACTTAGGGAATAGGAGAAAAATATGACTGCATTTGCAAATAGCGATGTAATGTTGGCCCAAAACAAGAAGAGTAAAGAAAGTTTTACCAGGTGTTCGAGGAATAGTTCTACTGTGGTCCGTAATTTTCCATTCTATCCGATGAACGTGTGGTGCAAGACTATCGATTTAAAGGAGGGGAAAAGCCCGGCGTCGAATGGATGATGGGAGAGGACTTGGAGTGACGTGTTCGCCGGATGGCTAATTGAAAACCCAAGGATTGTGGAAGAGCTAATTTCCCGTCGGTAAAACACCCTACGATGAAACTAGAGTGGTAGGACACAACGTCCATTTCCATGTGAAGAGATCCGATTGCAAGTTCCTCAAACGGTATGGTCTTGTTGTTAGGTGAGATTATTGGTAGGCTGAAATGGTGATGGCATAACTGACATTTGTAATTACAAAATGGGGGCAAAATGGGGACACTTGTCTCAGTGGCATTTTGCCGATTTCTATCTCTTAAGAGTATTTCTAACTGCTTGTCCCGTGTTGTCATGTTAATATTGCAGAGAAATGAGATTTGGTCGTTTTCATATTTTTTAACCACACATTCTTTAAAAATACTATTCAACACTCTTTAATTTTAGAAATAATGAATGTCAAACAAGGCCAAAATGCAACCCTAGTTAATGGGTCCCATTGGATTTCTTACTGCACAACAATGAGGTACCACTATTCTAGTTTTCTAGACATTTGGTGTGGCTACTATGCAAATGGAGGCGGTGGAAAATTCAACGAATGTTACTGAGCTTATATATTTATTTTATATTGGTCATCTCACTTTAATTAATTACACTTTGATAACTTGATTTATTTTTATATTTTAATTTAACCATTTCAACTTTACACAAGACCATACTAATAGAGTAATTCCACGTCGCCAATGGGGTATGTGACGACTTCGCACCTTTTCTAGTTTAAATTAAAAACGCTTGCCAATTCTACATTTTTATTGTTGTATCAAATGCACAAGAGGCATAAGTGTAAGAAGATCCACTTTGTTAGAAATTTGGATTGAAATCAACCTATTTTGCTTCGGATTGATTCATAGGTTGATCGGTAGGTTATGTTGGGTTGAAATTTTTAGCCAAACAATCATGATGATTGGTTCAACTCAGCTTTTATTAAAAAATTATACTATCATAATAATTTTTAGTTGTCGCTGATTATTTAAATTTCAAAAATAACTTAAATGATGTAATTTGCAAATATATGAATGAGAAAAGTAAGTTTTTCATTTTAAATTATAAATTATAAATTGACTTGTTTGCCCAACAAGCTTGATTAACCTGCATTTTGTCGTGTTCGGAACCTAGTTTGGTCCACAATTTTAAGAGCTCGTTTGTTCCACATTTTTTCAACAAAAATGCATTTTAAGCATCACATCATGGGTCCTACCTTAGAGTGTTGAAGTCAAAAATTGTAGGCTGATTTGACGGAAAAAATGTATTATTTTACAAAATAATGTGCACCGAACGAGGGCTAAAGATGCTTTGGATTAGGTTTTGTTAGACCATATTGTTAGATGAGTTGATTAAGGCCTAGACTCTAAAGGTCTAAGTTGAGCCTATATGGATGCGGGTCAGTTTAGCTAGTCACTTTATTTTAACTCTCCTAATTTTTGTAATCCTCATCCATTTTGTTTAGCATGTAAATTGATTTTTGGAAAATTACTTCTTTTCAACATTCATCTTTAACTATATATTTTAAGTCCTTGTTTGAGCCACATTATTTTCATAAGAATGTATTTTTGAATAGTGTATTGATGAAAAATGTGTGGTTAAAAAAATAAGGAAAAGTTTTGAATTGACGTGTAATATTATTTTATTGAAAAATGTGTGGTTGAAATGATATCAAATTATTGTTTGAGAATATATTTTTTTTTCAAAGAATGTGGCTCAAATAGAGCTTAAAAATAAATAAATTATTTTCCACATTTTTCCATAAGTTTTTTTAACTATAGATTCTTAAAATAAAACAATGTTCCGTATAAAAAAATCAACTTCGCACGAAAACTTATTATCAAATAAGGCCAAGTCATTCCTTGTTAGTCACACGAGACTTGCTATAGTTTTGATACAATAACACGTGCTCTTGTCAAATTGAAATATGAAGTTGAACGATCAAATTTAAACAAAGCCCCGTTTGATACCAATTTTTTTAAAATGCATTTTTGTCTCTCTTCTTTTCAACTACACATTCTTTAGTAAAATAATATTATACGTAAATAAAAAAAAATTTCTTATTTTTCAATAACACATTTTTCATCAATTTACTACTTTAAAATGCATTTTTACATAAAAAAATAGGTATCAAATGCCCTCTAAATATAAGTTGGATGACCAACGCGGAAAATTTCTATAAATTGGGCGACCTCCAAGGATTGGAACCTTATTTTTCCAAAGTATATTGCTTGAGTTAATAGTGTTGTACATTAAGCTTCTATTTGATGATCATTATTTTACAAAAATAAAGTTTTGAATAATGACTTTTTGGCTAATATGTGGTTAAATTGCAAGGAAAAATTTTGGATTTATATATATAATTTTTTTGTATGAATATGTGGTTGAAATTGTGTATGTGAAATAAAAAGTTCTAAAATAATAGTTGTCAAACAAAGATTAAGATTAATAAGAGATAAGTCAAATGCAGAGGGCAAAAGTACTTAAGGGTACAACTGTGTAATGTAAGTTAGGGAAATAGCGATTACATCCCATTCCAACCTATTATTGCTCTTTTAAATTTTTTAAACTCCGTTTGGGCTTCACTTTAATTTTATACTATAAGTACATAATTTAGTTATATAATGATTTATGTACACAGATTGTAGTGAGATATGACTTGGAAACAGAGGCTACATCTAATTCCAGTCTATTATTGCTCTTTTAATTTCTTAAGTTCTCGTTTGGGCTCAATTTTAATTTTGTACATGTATACAATATATTTATATAATGACTTACATATATATGATATGGTGAAATATAATTATGTCATAATTTCTTCAATTAAATAAAAAAAATTCACTACCTTTTTCACATCTTAACTGTACGTAAACTATTATATAACTGTTTATTTACAAGTAATATTATTATTCAATTTTAATACATTTTTATCTTTTATCTTTTTAATCGCACATTTTTCAATAAAATAATTTTACACGTAAACTCAAAATATATATGTTTTAATCATACTTTTTTTTTTAAAAAAAAATCACTATTATAAAATATATTTTCCTCAAAAAGTATATTAAAATATATCCTAAATAGATACTAGTTCCTGTTTGGTATGAATTAAAATTCAGATTTCTAATTTAAATCAAGGCCAAAATTAATTCTAATAATATATTTTACAAAAATCACAACTTTTCAAAACTGTTTATTTACAAGTAATATTATTATTCAATTTTAATACGTTTTTATTTTTTTAATTGCACATTTTTTAATAAAATAATTTTAAGCGTAAACTCAAAATATATATGTTTTAATCATACACTTAAAAAAAAACACTATTATAAAATATATTTTCCTCAAAAACATATTAAAATATATACCAAATAGAGACTGGTTCCTGTTTGGTATGAATTGAAATTCAGATTTCTAATTTAAATCAAAGTCAAAAATAATTTTAATCATATATTTTACAAAAATCACAACTATTCAACTATATATTTATTATTTTTTTTATAAAAAAAATCTACTAAAATCTGGTTTAATAGAAGCTAAATACATATAAAAAAAAAGCCACAATGCTAACAAAAATTAGAATGATTGGATTATGCTATACATACATTAATTTATTCGAAGTCAGTCCTTATGTGAGGAGGGTGAACACCGTTATAAATAACTTCTATTAAAAAAGCTCATCAAGTTGCTACTATTGATGGAACAGTAAATGAATCCCAAATTACTGTACAAGAAAGAAGAAAATGACGTCATTTTTATCTATATATTTTTCCTACTTCTCACTGTTGAAATTCTTTTTTTCATTCTTTCTTTATCTTCTTTAGCTAATGTCCATCCTGATCTTTGCTCCTTATTTTCGACGATCATACTAAGCAACCATAATCCTTATTTTCAAGTATAATAATTTCTATTGATTGATTTACGCAGTTGAAGAGGTGTATGAATTTAAATATCTCTTTCTACTCATCTTTCTTCTCGAAAAAAAATTTGCTGGTTGTAATGGTTAGTAGTGTTTTCTTCGTATTTTTTATGAAATTGATTTAGATTTTGTTTCAGGTTGTATAAAAAAACGCATATTTTCCTTTCCACCTTCTTGTTTAGGTTGTATAATTAATTATTTTCCTAGAAAGTATTTTCTGATCTTAGTTGGGTAAATTGACGTTAATTTGGTAAATCCATTTTTGTTGGAATACCGAGAAAGTATTCCTTCAGTATAATCTTTGATGTTAATTTGGTGAATTCATTTTTATTAGAATATCGAACATTTATTTTTATTAATTTTATTGTTGATGCTTAAAAAAAAAAAATTTGCTCCACGCTATGCAGAGTAACGCTGCATTTCGTGGGAGCAAATTGTGGAGTTGTTCCACAAAGTGCGAAGTTACTCCGCACAAAAGTGCGGAGCAACTTCGCAGAGCAACTCTGCACTGTGCGGAGAGATCAATTTTCTCCGCACAGAGCAAATACCTTGCGGAGAGATCAACTCTTTTTACACAGTGCGGAGACTTTTTCCAAACTCTCCAAATAGTTTACACTAAACCCTTCAGAGAGTTTGGAGATTTTTTTTTTGTTTATTGTTCATCTTTTTCTATTAGGTTTTTTATTTTTTCATATTACCATATTTTTTGACCAATGTCGAGTTATCTCCAAACTCTACGGAGTTAGATTTTTTTTCCACGTTTCTCTTTCTTTTTATTCTCTTTGGTTTTCTTAAATTTAAACTATTTGATTTTTTATTTTTTTAGTTTACTTTTGATATATAATATATATGTAAACATTCCTACATAAGAAATAAATAAAATAGTTTAACAAAAAAAAAAAAAAATCTTTTCGCACTGTGCGGAGAAATCAATTGATCTCTCTGAACCGTGTAGAGAGATCAACTCTTTCCGCACAGTGCCTATGGAGAAACTCTACGCTCTTGGTTTTTTTTTTTTTCGTTTTATCTATTTGGTTTTTATTTATTTTTAGATTACCATAGTTTTTCACTAATGTCGAGGTATCTTCAAACTCTTCGGATGCTCCGCACGCACTGAGCTACGATTTTTTCCCATTTTTATTTCTTTTTTACTCTCTTTGGTTTTCTTAAATTCAAACTATTTGATTTTTTATTTTTTTTAGTTTACCTTTGATATATAATATATATGTATACATTCCTACATAATAAACAAACAAGAAAATAGTATAACAAAAAAAATAAAAAAATCTCTTTGTATGGTTCGAAGAGATCAATTGATCTCTCTGCATAGTGCAGAGTTGTCCGTAACTCCGCACACTTTGTGCAGAGTGTTCGAAGTAACTCCGCACTTTGCTTCCACGAAATGCGGAGTTACTCCGCACAGTGCGGAGCAATGTTTTTTGTTTTTTTTAAGCGTCCATAATAAAATTAGCAAAATTAAATGTTCGGTATTTCAACAAAAATGAATTCAACAAATTAACATCAAAGATCACATTAAAGCAATACTTTTCTCGATATTCCAACAAAAATGCGGAGTGTGCGGAGAGATCAAGTAATCTCTCTGAACTAGGCGGAGAGATTTCTCCACCTCTCTCTGCATAGTGCGGAGAGTTTGGAGAAACTTTTTTTTTGTTTATTCTTAATTTTTTATCTATTTGGTTTTTTATATTTTCATATTATCATACTTTTCACCAATTTCGAATTATCTCCAAACTCTGTAGAGAGTTTGGATAGCTCTATGGAAAAACTCTCCAGAGAGTATAGAGAAACTTTTTTATTTTTTGGTTTATTCTTCATTTTTTTCTATTTGGTTTTTTATTTTTTCATATTACAATACTTCTCACCAATTTCAAATTATTTCCAAACTTTCCAGAACTAGATTTTTTTTCCATATTTCTCTTTCATTATGTTCTCTTTGATTTTCTTAAATTTAAAGTATTTTATTTTTTATTTTTTTAGTTTACCTTTGATAAGAAAAAAAAAAACTTGACCAAAAAAATTCTCTACACTGTGGGAAGAAATCAATTGATCTCTCCGAACTGTGCGGATAGAGTGCGGAAAGTTTGGAGAGAAACTCTCTAGAGAGTTTGGAGGTGTTTTTGCAAATTCTCTGAAGAAACTCAACAAATATAGTTTAACTTTCTTCAATAATTTCCAAATCTACTAGAGAAGTTAATGTAGACATTTAATTTTTGTGGATTCTCATAATTAAATTTCAATAAAAGAGGGCTAATAAATTTAATATATATATATATATATATATATATATATATAAATTAGATATATATATATATATATATATATATATATATAAATTAGCAATTTCACAATCACCTATTTTTTTTAAATTTTATAAAATACAATTATAAAAAAGAAAATAATATTGAATTACAAAAATCAATATCTGTCAAACACTGTATCTAGAGAGAATGTGCAAATACGGTATGCTATAAATACGATTTGTTGCATATACGATAAGCTGCAAATACGATATGCGTAAATATGGTATGTTGCATATACGATATGTATAAAAATCAATATCTGTCAAATACGGTATCTAAAAAAAATATGTGCAAATACGATATGCTGTAAATACGGTATGCTGTAAACACGGTATGATGCAAATACGGTATGCTGTAAATATGGTATGCTGTAAATACGGTAAACTGTAAACACGATATGTTGCATATACGGTATGTGAAGTGCATATACGGTATGAATGAATCTGATTTCGTCAATTACAATAAATTTCAATATCGTATATGTCGTCTACCGTATTTGCAGCTTACCGTATATGCAGGAAATTTACTGTATTTGTAGCTTACCGTATATATTACCTACCGTATTTGCAGCTTACCGTATATACCACTTTTTGTACTTACAAATATCGAGAATGCAGTACATCATACATTCACTTACCAAACCGAATGTCAGAAAAAAATTTCAAATTTTTATTTTTTCAATATAAGCATAAAATAAATATTAAAATATATGATGAACAAAATATAAAACGCATATGAATATGCAAGTCAATTCATTATTTTGTGCTCAATCTTTAATTTTTCAATCTTGAATTACACAAAATTTAGAAATATAATTTTCACATTCAACTCAATCATATCAAGACTATCAAAGAATACATACAAAGTAGTTTGTATAACATCGTATATTTTTTATTTAAGTATGAAATATATAAGTATATTTTTTCTAAATAACACAATACTGTTATAATTGTAAAAATAATTTATAATCATTTTCTTATATGATTGAAATATTTCTAGATATTACTTCAAAATTTTTTCAAAAAACTAAAATTCATACATTAATAAAAATACAATAAATATAAAATTTTTGCAACGTACGTAACAGTGATTAGTTAGTAACATATGACATATCCAAGGAAAGTTGAAATAAAATGAAAGAGGAGGAAAGTCAGAAAACTGACACGTAAGCCACAACACGGAATCGAAACCCGGACGTGACTGCAAGTAGCAAACCGGAATTGATAAACCGATGATACGTCCGGAATTATGGTAGCTTCCTCTTCTGGTTAGTTTGGTCAAACATTACAACCAGTGTGTGTTTGTATGTGTATGGACCCAATGCACGAAGAGAAAAAAAGAGAAATTTGACTCGCCGAAAGGTCTACGAAACCCTAGTTTTCTACATCCTTAGGTACTCCGCAATTCGTTCTCTATCTGTGTTAATCTATGCATAACCGTGAGGCCTATAATTATTTTTGTTTAATTATACTTGATTATGCAATTTTTTTTTATGTCGGCGTATGTGTGATTATATGTATTGATTTTGTTACGCGCTTAGTTATTTTAATGTTGATGTGAGTGGTCAGGGTTTTCGATGGCTAATATTTTTATTTTATTTTATGAGCAGATCGATTGTTAATTGGAGAGGTGCATGGTCCGTGTTGATTGAAACCTTTTGCCCCCTTTTTTTGTGTAATTGAGGTGTGCTGCAGAGTGACTGAAGGAGGGTAAAAAGATGGATTTAGTGACGAGTTGCAAGGTGAAATTTACCTTTATTTCAGGATTTTTTGAATCGTTTTTTGTGCAAATGATTTCTTCCATGTGCTGATGAAATCTGGTGTTTTAGTTGAATTTTCATTTCACTGCACAGTTGGGCAACTCTGTTGGCAATGTTTGTTAGCTTTTGATAATCTCGTTGAATGTGACGAGCTATGTTCTTTTGAGAACTGTTAAATTTGAATTAAGTGGGAATGAGCTTTGTCTAACGTGTTATGATATGGTTTTTGTTATTGCGCCAAATACACAAGGTTTTAACCCGATATGGTTACTTCATTTGAGAAACTAGCATCACTAATTGTTTTGTGCATGATATTATGATTAGGCCATTCTGCGATGACGTGGTTTACTAATATGGCAAGATTGTTTTGCTTGAAATATCGTCTTCGCTAGTAACCCAAACAGGCAAAGTTTAATCGCTATTTTTTATTGGGAACTACGCTCCACTAGATCTTGATGGATAAAGAAGTTCTTTATAGGTTTGCCTGCAGTATCCCCTTGTCAGCCAGCATTAAATTAGATTCGATCAAGGATCTTTTCTATGATCTGTGCAGCTATTGTAGGCCTACGATAGCACTGGAAAGATAGTTACTCCAATTAACTTGTTGGCTTTCATGATTGAGAAATTAATCTCTAATAAAGAGGTAGTCTCAAAGATTCTCTATTTATCAACTTTCGAGTTGAACTCGTTTGTTTTAGCCACACTTTCTGGCATCTCAATGTGTTAATGTGGAGACAGAAAACTTTTGATCACAGTTCCTTTGATGGCAAACTCCGAGATATGGTAAAATATATGGTAAGTATAATAGTTTTGGACATTTCTAAAAATCCGGCAAAGATGATGTAATTGTAATCTGATAGTAAATAAATTTGGGCCCTTGGATATGGTAAGCTATGTTTCTCGAACACTTCGACTAGGATGTCGTGCATATTGACTCTCCTCGGACATTATTCCGTGGTCACTTATCTTTTTTTATCGAGAATATTATATATTTTTAACTCAAAATTATTATTAAATAATAAATAGTTACTCATATTTAAAAGATTTTAACCAAAAAAAAATAAAAAAATATTAAGTATAAGACTAAAGTAAAATTGCTTAAATAAAGAATTTAATCAACGTGTTGGTTACGTATCGTATCATTACTTTATTGAAAAATCACGTGTAGGATGTGTTGGTGTGTCAGATACACGTGTCCGTGTTGGTGCATTATAGATGGTAAGAAGTAAAGTTCTATTGCTTTTAAATTAGTTATTTCTTTGTACTTTTATTGTTGTATGGCCTTTTTACTTCAAGAATATGTTTATTGAAAAATGAAATTGGTCTCATGCCTAAGCCACAAACTGCGGAGAGTGGAGTTATCTTTTCCTATAGGTGTATGCTTTAATGGAATGCTTGTGTGTTTTGCGAAGTTTGCTTTCCTTTTAGTTGCTTCTCCCTAGGGTGAAGCTGATTCCCAAGCCTTCCCCTCAAAGAACTCTGAGACAGTGCTAAGATATTAGGCATCAGAATCAGTTCGCCTTTTTGTTAACTTTTAGTTTTTACATCTTATATATTCTCCAAAAGAATGAATACTAAGTAAATTGATTGTTTGACTTGGCACGTCCTTTCTTGCCTTCTTTTTTTTTTAATTATTATTTTTTTGTCACATGTGGCTTGTATATAATTGGTCTTATCATCGTTTGTTTTTACTGTACTAATTGTTTTGGGGAGATTGCTGTATATGCCAGATTTTGTATAATATTTACTTTCCTGAGATGGGTTATTGAATTATTTTATCCTCTCTGTCAGGACAAATTAGCATACTTTCGAATAAAGGAGCTCAAGGATGTCCTTACTCAGCTAGGACGTCCAAAGCAAGGAAAGAAGCAGGTTATTTTTAGAATTAATCCTGAAGCTAGTGAAGCTTTAGGCTAAAGAACTTGGCTCCCGTTCTTTTGTACCCTGCTTTCGCTTCATTTATTTCTGTTTAAAATTCAAGCAAAAATGAAAACTTTATATTGGGGGCTGGGGGGACAAATTAGTATACTTTCGAATAAAGGAGCTCAAGGATGTCCTTACTCAGCTAGGATCTTCAAAGCAAGGAAAGAAGCTGGTTATTTTTAGAATTAATCCTGAAGTTAGTGAAGATTTAGGCCAAAGGACTTATTTACCATTATTTTCTACCCTACTTTTGCTTCATTTATATCCGTTTAAAATACAATTAAAAGAAGGGAACTTTTTGTTGGGGGTTTGTGGGGGCCATGGGTGTCGGTAGTGAGAAGCTAAAGCACAATTAAATATTTATTTCAATTCTTATACTTTGGGTTCTGTTTTAAGCTTTGACCTTTCGTCAGAGGTTGCGTGGAGTGCACTTGATGCATCATTATAGATGAACCCCAAAGTGTCTGGTCTTCCCCAACTCATAGCACTTTTTCTAGCAACTTATCGTAAAACTGTTAGCTCTTGAAGATTGATTTTACTGGGAAATTTGGCTTTTAATTGGAGCTACCCAGTTTTTCCTCTAGTTTTAGTATTTTAGCCTACGAATGAATTTATGATTTATCACCTGTCTCACAAGATTTATATGGGGAAGGAGTACATATTTAGTAATTTATTACTAACCTCTTGTTCTACTATCTTTTTAGCTCTTGGACTATTTATGTAAAAGAAAAGGTATTCTTTAAATAATAGTCTTTTTAACATTGTGTAGGACCTTGTTGATCGGATATTAGCCATTCTCTCCGATGATCGAGGTAAATATTTATGTCCATCCTTTATAAATTATAGCCTCTGATGAATGACCATCTCTTTCACAAAAACGTGGATGTTATGTTTTTTGTAAATCTAATATAGGTCTAGAAATATATATGTCAGTGGCGATGATACTAATTTCTACTCTTATCCATATACCTCTGAATTCTGCAAAATGTAATAGAAAATCTGTAGACACGATTGATATTATTCTTCTAGTGCAGTGCTTTGCAGTTTCACCTCAAGGTTATTTGAAACATTGCATGCATGATTCTCATCTTATGTTATATCTTTTATCTTTACATAGGCTGCACAGCCATCCCTTGTAGCTCGTCAAATATTTGCCGATGCCTTAGAAAGCCTGTTTTCTTTGGACAATGTCACTTCATTCGCCCTCTAGTCATTTCTTCCTGTATGATCTTTGCATTTGAGTTTAGAATTTCGTCAACCTCAGCATTGTTTCAGTGCATAGGGAATCATATATCTAATTATTTTATTTTTCCAAGAAGGTCTATAAATATAAAAATAAAGATGATGCAGAATGGGAGAGAGGAGGAGACGAGAGTGAAGAAGAGAGAGAGAGTGGAGAAGAAAATTTGGGAGAGGAAGATTTCAATACACTTCAATAATCAGTAATCAACTAATGGTCTTTTCAATTAAAAAAATCTACTTATTCCAAGAAATCATTTAAAAAATAAATCACAATCTCCTCCCTAAAATAAATGTCTAATGAAGGTAAATATTCAACTAGATCTGCTTTAGAATATCGATCAAAGATTGTTATTAAGTAAAAAAGCAAAACAATTTTTTTTTTTTTTTAAATATTGATTAAAAAATATATATCTTACGTAAGTTCCTATATAAATAGAGAGGATAAGATGATGCGTGATTAGTGTTTTAATTAATGAGAAGGTCTAATGACTCTAATCTATTAGTCATTGCTGAGTTCATCCACGAAATTATGAATTCTTTACTTTTGTCCCTTAAGAAAATATATAAACTAAGGCAAACTGACTAAAAATCTAAAATTTAATGATCATAGGATTAAGATGTATGTCTATTGAATAATCTATTTATATTTTTATTATTAAATGGAAAAGCATAGGAAGATGTCACCAAAATGCATTTCATTGCCAACATGCGGGCAAGTAATGCCAATTTGTAAATTAGTTTCGTCGGAATGTCACAAACTTCTAAAAGGCATAAAAGGAGAGAATATTGACTTAGAATTCTCATCTGATCAGAAGAAATAGATATTTTTAACTGTTAGTGATTTAATAGTTATCTTCTGTCATCAATTACTTAACACTGCACAATAAAGTATGTGGGTGCACGGATGTTGGCGTAAGCTCACACATGTCTACGTAATGTGCATCTACATATGTATGTTATAGAGAAAAAGGAGAGCTCATATGGTAGAACAACAGGAATATATTTGATTTGCTTAGCATTGGCTAAAAATGAAAGGCAAGCTTATGTGTAGGGTCTAGAGCGAGACTCAGCATTTTTGGTTTTTGATTGGGAAGAGAACTACAAATTAAATTTAAGTGTTATATATAGTCCTTGTTTGTTACTTTGTTTCCCATTTTTTCCCACCGTTATCCATCACATCAAGCCACCAAATTTGAATTTTTATCTCTTGTGTGGGTTCGTAACAACTATATTTTTCATTCTTATTCTTGCCAAAATGGGAAACAAATAGGGCCATAATTGAATAGCAACTAGGAAAAAAGACACACTTAACTAAGAACTTAAAAAAACTTAAAATTTTTTCTTCATGATTTACCCATAGCCCAAATCTCTAAATCCAAAGAATTGAAAGAACTGCTGTCATGTTTAGTAGTAAAGAGAAGTTTGAAATATAACTATCTTAGAAGTTTCCTAAATTGACCTTTCATGTTGCCCAGTTGGCCGAAAGGGAGGGAGTAAAATGCATACAGTTTATTTAATTGGTAATTGAAGGGGAAAAATGTAACAAATAATAAGTTAACAATTGAAGAAATATGTTCTACTTAACAAATAGATGATGCAAATTTTAATTTCTCTTGTCATGTGGTACTTTTATTATTTTCAATTTAATTTTTAAAATTTGATCCTTAACAAATAGAACTTTTGTTTTGATGCACTTGGTTGCTTGTCAGAATGTTATTCCCAGTATCTTGATGATACAATTAGGAGTCAGATCAATTTTTATGACAAATTTAAATGTTAAGGTCATCCGTAATTAACATTGCTATACAAATAAGTTAATAGCGAACCATACTTGCAAAGAACAACTAGAGGATACACATTGATTAATGCTGTCAAACAACCTATTTTTGTGCCAACATGTTACATATTACTGTGAAGTTATCTGGGATATGGTGGAAAAGCCACAAAAATTATGTAATAGAATAAATGTCAAAGATGCCTGTGAAAACAATTCAAAGAATGATTCTAGCACGAAAAAGCTGAAAAATAATCACTTGAGAGCCGTCAACTTGAAGTTGGAGCAGACTAGAAGTGATGGTGAAGCAATCTTGAGAGGATAATATCAGGGTATTGTTGGCTCAAGTACCAAGGGCTGAGAGAGAGCCCAAGATTAACTGAAATTTAGAAATGAAAATACGGATCGAGTGATAATTGACAGTGGACAGCAGCAGGCATTTACTCAACGGATGGGGTTCTTTAATTGGATTTTGACAATCAAGGGAAAGATTATGAGATAATTATTAGTATAATGGAAATGTGGTATTCAATGGATTATTTTTTAATGGATTTCTGATGATGGGCGTACGGTTATGATTTATGGTAGGTGAACTATTAGGGATGAAAGGTAAAAAAGGCTACAGAGATAAGACTGGCAAGTTAGGGTTAATAACGATGAACTATTAAATTGAAAATTATGTGAATTAATGCTGTTGTGCTGTGAAAGGAAGTAAAAGAGGCTGTCCGATGTAGCAGCCATACGTATTACAGTGAATGGAAGTAAAAGAGGCTGTCCGACATAGCATCCATACTTATTAGGGTCCAATTGACCCTTCCTTGAATATGCACATGTGATTGTTACTTTACTTGTATATATTAGATTCTCCTTGTCTTCTCTCTAGCTTTGCTAGAGCAGTTATTGAGAATAAAAGGTTCAACTGAAGGATGCATTATTAGTGCATGCTTATTTATCTCTATCTATGAAGCAAAGTTTAGGTATCATATCTATAGTTTTCATTTTTCGAAGTGCATTTCATAACACATTTGAATACCTATTTCACTTCCAAATGGGTGAAACTGAAGGATGACACACTTGCCATTGTGGTTGGTCCTACTTCAAGCCAACACTAAACTCTCGGTTTTGATTTGCTAAGCATTTTGGTTTCCAATATCCTTGTTTTTATGAGAATGGCAATGTCATGAGAGCATAACCTTCTATAAACTCATTTTCTTTGTTGGGTTATGTATATATTTTTAATGCTGCTGATAGTTTGTTAAAGATGTTACAGCGACTTATTGACAGAATAAATTGTCTACTCATGATCAATATTTGGGCACAACTATGTTTTCAAGTACAAAAGCAATTTCATATTGTTTTGTGCAGTTCCAGGAACATGGGACAAGAAAAATGCCGTTGGAAAGGAGGAAGTAGCAAAGTTGGTAGATGACACTTACAGGCGAGTCATTATATTGTTTGATTGCTCAAAAACTTGCACGGAGAGACTTACTAATGCAAAAATCTCGTTTCATTAAATCCTTTTGTTTTTACCTTTTACATTTTGTAGTTAAGTGGCATCACCTAGCTTTGTTTTTATTCTTACTACAGATGATCTGAGCATGTCCACTTGATTTTTCTTTAGAACGTAGCAATGAACATTTAATGTCATGTCTGCATTCAAATGCTACGCCTTTCCATTGTTAGCATCCAATTTTCCACTTCTGGATGTGTCATGCCCCATTATAGTCCATCTTGAAAACTCAAAACTATTTTTCGTTGCTTTTCATTTTATCCTCACCTAAAAGATCGGAACAAAAAAGAAATCAGCTAGGTGGAGGGCTGCTGGAAGTAAAGCTTGATACTGTGGATAAACATAAATGGGATTTTCACAAAAAAAAAAAAGAAAGAAATAAAGAAATAAAGAAAAGAATATTGCTTCAGAGAAAGAGGGGGGGGGGGGTGTTCTTTTATCATTATTAGTTGATATCATTGACATTTATTTTTTGTTTATTTTTTCCAGAAAAATGCAGATATCTGGGGCAACTGATTTAGCATCTAAATCAGATAGCAGTAATGTAAAACTCAATGTAAAACTCAAAGAGGAAACTGAAGAACCTCACCAAATGGATAAAATTCGCTGCCTTTGTGGAAGCACACTACCAACTGGTCCAATGATAAAGGTACAAATGCTGTTAATCCTTTTGTGAACTCTGTATATTTCTCCCTCCTATCTAGGTATGGATATATGGTTCTCTGCCCCAGTATTCTGCTTATGAAAAAATGCCTTGAGTGTTAGGTTTCTCGGTGAGTTTGTCTGTTCATGTGCTCGCTCACTATTGTGGTGTGCATGTGTCTGTTGGTGGAGGCTTGTGGCTGTGTTTGCTGACATATGTGTCACTGGAGGTGTGGGGCAGCTCAAATACATGGAATGGGGTTGGGGAGCGTGTGTGTGAGATGGAAGTGTGGAGGGACTAGTGTGGCAGGTGGCTGCCAGTTTCCATATATAGGACCTTCAGGTGGTGGGGAGAGGTCATTGGGTATTGGATGGGGGAAGAGCCCTGCCACGGCTCACCAAGAGGCTACCTGTGGGGGAACTATATATTTGGTGCATCTAGTGAAATTGCAAAGTTGCTGGACTCCCGTGTGTTCAAAATGGGAAGGTAGGTCCGGGATACCTTGAGGAAGAGGATTTTTGTTCTGCTTCCTGGAGTTGGAATTCTTAGATTTGAGGTAGCCAAATTCAAGGAATATTGATTCCAACTTCTGATCCCCATTCCTCAAACTGGACATGTCCATCTGTCCGTTGTTATTAAGATTAAAAAATCCTAAAGATTGGTGGAAAGGATAGCTATATTCAGTGTTATCGTCGTACCCGTTGAAATAATAAATATTTTGAGTCTCCTTTTAACATCCTGATGTACAAAAATTTTCATCTAAACATGTTTTGGACCTGATGTGACGCTTTATGTTTTGACCATGTATTGGTGCAGTGTGAAGATCCAAGATGCAATGTGTGGCAGCATATAGCTTGTGTGGTGATCCCTGAGAAACCTGTGGAGGGTGTTCTACCAAATACCCCTGAAATTTTTTACTGTGAAATTTGTAGACTTAGTCGGGCAGATCCGTAAGTGAAACTTGATTTATTATTCTCCTTGTGCTTTGGATTATTTGTTAATAAAACTTCCACAATTTTTGTGGGTACTATATATTGGCAGGTTTTGTCTTTTTTAGGGGCTTATTGCTTAACTATATTGCATTCATATTTATCTGTCCACTTGTTATTTTAGATTTTCATGCTGGAGAAACTAATCTCTTTTACAAGTCTATAGTCGTATCTTCTAGTCCTTCCCACCTAATAAATAGATAAAATGAAAAAAATGATCCTAGTTTCTTAACATAAAAAATCTTTGTATTTGGTTTCCCTAGACTCATAAATAACTATGACGTCTACCTTCATGAATACATGCATATGGGTCTCAGCAGCACCAGGCAATGTTGATTCATGCAATGATATGTGGTTCTGCGTGTCCAGAAAAAGCAGATTATAAGCTTTGTGATCTTCTGCTTCATTTTGTCAACTAATTTCAAGGTTTCCAAAAATGATTGGTTTTCCGTAGTTCTCATTTTTTATTTCATGATGTGTTCTTTTAGTTAGCTGTTGAAATTGTTGGCTATTAACTGTATTTTTTCAAGTTTTCACAAATTTGAATCAAGAAAGTACATTGATGTGATGAGCTAATGATAACTCAAATAAAAAATGGTGAAAATGTCAAACTTCGTTGGTGGAGCTATGTCCACCCATTATGAATCTTGCTTAAACTAGCTCAAAAACTAGATAGTTGCTCCGTGATGCTTTATGCAGACATTTAAGTAACATTCTGACATGCTTAAAATTACTTGCTGGAGTCTTTAGAGAGAGAATTGGGATATTTCAATTGTAAATCACGAGTCTTGTTTATTTTAAATATGCAGCTTCTGGGTGACAGTGGCACATCCTTCATATCCTGTGAAGTTGACCATTCCCAGTATTCCTTCAGATGGGTGAGTAAACAATATATTCTGTAGTTATTGGCAATTTATACCTCTAAATCCGAAGAGCGTAGCTGTCATGGTATTCAAGCTATCTGAACCTGAAGTTCTTGTTTGGTCTTTGTATTCAAGCTCTATAAAACTTGTTCACATAAGCTGAACTGTTCAAGTGGTGATCATATAATATAGGATATATATATACGCTACAACAGTCGATCATACACCTGTTGGCTGTGAGTTTTCCTTTTTTTGGGTTTTCTGTGAACTGTATCTGCAATTGTGGAATACAACTTAAGTAGATGTTTGTTCGTGTCATTTCAGATATCATTTCCGTTTTGCTGTTAGAGGTCTGCCTATTCTTTTATCTAAATGGTCTAGTTGCCTAGGCTTACAATGCTGTTATTATTCTTTTGATTTGCAAATACTTGCCTCTAGGGGTATTATTGTTGCATGATTTAGACATCAGTTAAAGATCTAACTGAGAACTAAGATATGTAGGCCTAGAGGAAAAAATCAAAGAGCAACATTTGTAAATAAAATATTAAAACCTACATTTGAAGCATCACGAGAAAACTTTTAGTTTTTTTACAAAAATCCTATCCAAGTAAAACATCCAAGTATGCAAGTCCATAATGAAAACTGATTATCTCCTTTCCTCTCTGCTTCGCATTATTTATTTTGCACTAAGAACACTATCACAAATGCTGCTACTTGCATCCATTTACTTTTCAAAATCCTCTTAACTCTGCCTTTTGCCCAAGTATCCTTCTAACTGAGACAAGAAAGAGGTTCCAAGATGCATATAGAAAAGGAAAAACCATACTTGGAATATTTAGAGGAAATTGATCTAGATCAATTAAAGTTCAAGTCCCAAAAAAGCTGTGAAGAATTTTACAGCAGGAGAACAATGCTAGAGTTGAGGGCATCGGTGATTCAATTAAGGGGAGATACTTGGTAAGAGATTCAAGTTTTTCTTGGGGACGTTTCTTTCTTCCTGATTTTCTTCCATTTTTTTGGGTTTCTCTCAGTTTTTTATTGAACTGATTGACATCACTATGTCTAAATAGACACGTGATAAAAATAAATAAAAAAATAAATAAAAAATTCTACATTTATTTTAGTTTTAGTTCAGGTTTATTATAAAGTAATTGTAATTGAAAACTGCATTCAATTGACTCTAAAAAGGCATCTGTGAGCAACGATTAGATTGCTCTCCAAACCAGTTAAAGGTCAGTTGGTCTTTAAGTTGCTGAGCCTTTTTCAACCTGAAAAAGATGGTTTTTGCAGACATGATTGTATTTTTATCTCTGTCTGAACTGAATGACCCTGCCACCAGGGAGTCCATAGAAGTGTAGATGCCTGAAGAAAAAATGCACCTCAGAACTGGTGGTGTCTCATGTTGTTCGTTCGATAATGACTAGTAAGAGATTACAGGGAATTGTTCTGTCAGATCATGAGGTCCCAAAAATTATTGCGGTGTTCAAAGGAGACTTGACTGAAGATTTTGGCTGCTTCAAAGAATTCTTGACCCTGTGATTCTTGGTCTCAGTATTCTGGCAAAGATTCGTTGAGAAATATCTTCTTGAACTGCATGAAATTGTTAATAAATGGGTGGAATAATAATCATGATTCTGGTTGGAAGGAAATCAAAAGTAAAAGCCTGTTTGCAGGGGTGCAATTTTGTTAATATAGGATAGTACTTCTACATTGTTGTTAAAAATTCAAAGGAGAACTGATGAGGACAGTGACTAGGACAACATGGACAAGAAGGAATTATAGATTGAAATAAAAGCTCGGCATTAGAAGGCCTGGGAGTTTTGATAAATTATGATTGGAGACTAGGAGAGAGTGACAGGCTGGATAGGAAATTGCACTACTAAATGATATGGTTTGTACGTGCTTTGTTTCTTGCAGTTTTTTGGTATTATTTGTCTTATTGGAGAAAAAATAAAATAGTTTCTGTTTGATGACTATATCCATGGCTAAGGATAACAATTACTTAACTTGGAAAATGCAATTATTGATCTTTCCATTATTGCTGGTTTAGTATTTATCATGTTTTATTTCTAGGTAGGTTGTCCTAGATAATTTTTGTTGATGTGTGCACAGTATCACAAGTGCACGAGCACATCTATCTTCTTGCAAGCGTATGCATACATATTCCATCTTCTAATGTACACGTGTAAATGTTTTAGCTCAAATCCTGTTCAGAGCATAGAGAAAACATTTCAACTGACGAGAGCAGACAGGGACATGTTTTCGAAACAAGAATACGATGTTCAGGTATGTGAGAATGCTGCGAAATGATAAATATTTTGGTACATTACTGTTGGATTGTCATGGTTACCTGCGACCTAATGATTTGTGTGCTACCATGACTAGGCTTGGTGCATGCTTCTTAATGACAAGGTGCCATTTAGGATGCAGTGGCCACAGTATACAGACCTGCAGGTCAATGGTATGCTATAATCTGACATTGCTTCAATTAGGAAATGTTGGGCCTTTTGTGAGAAAATTGATTCTTTGCTCCTGTATCCTGTTCCTTCTGTATTCATATCTTATCTTTCTTCCTCCAAACTGATTGGAAAGAGAGTATATGATTCTACTGCAGTATACTGTTGCCTGCAGATTAGATTATGCTTTCTATGGTCAAACTAGGGTTTACACAATCTATGTAGACTCAATCTTGTATGCATAATGATTTTGTTTGGTAATATTGCTTAAAATGCACCTAACTGTACGTTGACCTCTTTTTATTTTTTATTTTATTTATTTATTTATTTTTTCCTTTCCTTGTAAGTAATATTTTTATTGCCTTTTGATAGGTGTACCAGTACGAGCAATAAACAGACCTGGCTCACAGCTTCTGGGAGCAAATGGTCGAGATGACGGTCCTATTGTGAGTTTTCCACCATCTCTTCTAACCCATTTGTTTTCACTGTTGATTTTTGAACATGGAAACACAATCTTCTTGTTTCTTGTGGTTGCTGTTGAAGATGTCTATTTTGTTTTCTAATATAATTCTCATACTTCATCTGACCACATGAGAGTTTGAGTATATCTTGGTTTGCTCATCAGTTATTCTAGTTTTGTTTCTTTACTTTCGTCATCTAATTATTTCTTTGTGGGAAGATATCATTTCGCTTACTTTTTGTAGTTGCATTCTCTCTGAACTTTGTTGGTTTGATCCTTTATGTTTTTCCTTAGTTCACATTTCGTTGTTTTGTCAGATAACACCATGCACCAGAGACGGCATTAATAAGATTTCATTAACAGGATGCGATGCTCGCATATTCTGTTTGGGAGTAAGAATTGTGAAACGGCGTACTCTTCACCAGGTAGATTCATCTTCCTGATCCTTGCAGTTCAAATTTTTTCTTGCCTTCTCCTTTGGATATTGGGTGACTGACCGTGTTATGGTTCAGAACAATGTAAAGGCTGGTAACTGTTCTCTGTTGAATCTTTATTTAATGTGCTTCAAGCATGTTTGACTGGTGAATGTTTCTTGGTATTTTCTAGGTTCTTCATTAGTTGTCGCATCTATTTCTTTCTCATATTAATAAGCGCTTGTGAGTTTACTTATGAGAGTAATTGTTTGACTGGTGTTAACGAGAATTTTTTTAAGAAGGCAGCTTTGTGTACTTCCAGTAAATATTACTAGACTAATAAATCATGCTTTGTTTCCAAAAAAAAATTATGATTGGTTGACATTTTAAGAAAGAAGCGAGTGGGGGAAGCAAGGGAGAATGAGTTACTTGAAAGACTGAGGTGGGTATTTTTATTGAGCTCTTCATGGCAATGGATATTGACTTGAAAGCCATGCTATCGCAACATTCTATGCACCGAGGATAGGCCAAATGATGTTTTACTCCTCTGTACACATGCATACATGTATCACCGTGCACGTGACATTTTTTAGTCCTGGAACAATGAATTTGCTTCTTAATAATGTACTACCATGATAAATCCACTGTAATGACGTCTCCAGGACAACGTGATATGTTAGTCCTGGAAGGATGTCTCATGAGTTTCCTCTAAATAATGTGGTGGTAAGATTATTTGGCCTAGTAATTATGTTCGTGGGAAGGAGCATGGGCCAAAAATAAGGTTGCTGAAAGTGTAATTTCAGTGGGACTATGCTTTGGATGAGGCATTGTCAGCATCAGATGGTGAAAGGGAAGCTGAAAGAGATACATTTTTGAAACTGATGATGACACTTTGACAAGGAGTGAGGAACATCAAGCTATCTGTGGTTTCATTTTATCAAGCCTGCCTTTGGCAGTCATCGGCACTGGGAGAATTTTACGATATTTAATGAACTTAGTGAAGAAGCAGCAAAAATGGGATTATGAGCTGCTTGAAAGGATAAGAATATGACATGATAAGAAAATAACCGTGAGAAGAAAATGGGTTTAGAATCAGACCAAGAACTCGAGAGACTTGATTGTTTGGCAATATATATAGTTGGCCAAAAATGACAAAGCTCTAACTTGAGGTAGATAGCAATCCTAAGAAGAAAAATCTGATCTGATGAAAGATGTAATAGGTCCTAGATGATCAAAGTGCAAAAATATAAAAATAAAAAACAATGATAAAATCTTACAAGAATCCTCCCCTGCCACACCCACCAATCACTGGGTCTTTGACTTTTCAGAAAATTATAGCCCTTTATGTCTGTTTATGCCAGAGCCGTTTCTCCGGTTTCTTCATTTACTTGCATGTTGTGCTTAAAGTATGTTGTATTATGCCAGGTACTGGTTTTAGTAATTTCGTTGTAATTTAAATGTTGTGTAAGGTATGGCATTTGTAAGCTGTTTTGATTTTGTACTTTATAGGGACTAATAAGAATACCTTTGTACCCCTTACCTAGGTTCTCAACATGATCCCCAAAGAGTCTGAAGGTGAGCGTTTTGAGGATGCACTTGCTCGCGTTCGTCGTGTTGTTGGTGGCGGGGCTGCCACAGAAAATGCTGATAGCGACAGTGATATTGAAGTTGTTGCTGATTTCATTCCTGTCAATCTTCGCTGTCCTGTAAGAAGTGTTAAATTTTTATATTCAAATAATCAGGCATTTTATGTCTCTAAACTATAATGTGAGATTAATTGTGGTGTCTGCATTTGATGCATCATACCCTCATTGTAGATGATTGGCTTCTCTAGAGTCATGAATTCATGATTAAAATAGTATCCAATGTGGTTGAATACAATCTCCATTAATGGCTAATAATCATAACTACTAATGCATTATTTTGCTCCAGATTTCCGGATTTTTAATTTGGAAGCAGAATGACATTTCTTTGTGCACTAGAATTTAGAAGCCTCATCAAAGATTAGGTTCTGGATCTGGTTTAGAGTCTATCTCAATAATAGTAGCAGCAACCTTGTTAATTCTCGAAAACTTTATTTTTGTCAAATATTTTGGTTTGCGCAAATGCCATTTCAAAGTCTTGCTTCTTACTAGTCTTAACACCTGAAAAAAGGGTTTGTTATTTCTTAGTTCCTTTAGGACTGCTCTGTTCCTAGGTTTTTCCAATTACTATCTGTTGCAACTGATTTGTATCTATATTCTTATGCTTGCATGATTCAGATGAGTGGTTTAAGAATGAAGATTGCTGGAAGATTTGAACCCTGTGTCCACATGGGCTGTTTTGATCTTGAAGTTTTTGTGGAAATGAACCAAAGGTCTAGGAAGGCAAGTAAATATGATGAAAGATTATATGTTTCAGCTTTCTTTCAAATAGTCTCTTTAAATGCAACTGATATACATGTATCACACAAAATTATCTTATGGTCAAATTAATTCATTTTTCAATTTCTCTACATGAATGCAGTGGCAATGTCCTATTTGTCTCAAGAATTATTCATTGGAGAAAATCATCATAGACCCTTATTTCAATCGAATTACATCCAAGGTATTGCTCATCATGTCTTATGGTGTCAAACTATTTCCCTACCCCACCCCCAGCAATATATGTATGCAAATATTGCTTTTATTGGTTATATTTTACAGATTAAGAATTGTGGGGAAGATGTGAATGAGATTGAGGTTAAGCCTGACGGCTCCTGGCGTGCGAAGACAGAAGGTGACCGTAGGGCTCTCGGGGAACTTGGGCTGTGGCACTTGCCTGATGGTAGTCTCTCTCCGTCTATGGAAGGAGAATCTAAACCCAAACCAGAATTTCCTAAACAGATTAAGCAGGAAGGTGGCTCTGATAGCCATGCTGGGTTGAAACTTGGAATGAAGAAAAACCAAAATGGTTGCTGGGAATTGAATAAAACTGATGATATATTGAAACTATCATCTGCGAATATATTACAGGAACAATTTTTAAACGACCATAATATAATTCCTATGAGCAGCAGCGCCACTGGCAGTGGTAGAGATGGTGAAGATGCTAGTGTCAACCAGGATGGTGCAGAAAACATTGATTTTGCCACAAACCACGGCATTGAGCTGGAGTCAATTTCCCTGAATATGGAACCAAGCTATGGATTTATTGAGCAGAATCCACCTGCACCACCTGAGGAAGTAATTGTCCTCAGCGATTCAGAAGAAGAAAATGAGCCTCTAATTTCTTCTGGAGCGATTTACAAGAGCAACCACATGGACAATGGTGGAACCACTTTTCCTGTTTCCCAGCATGGAATTCCTGGTTCTTATCTGGAAGATCCTGCTGCCTTTGATAATGGTATTGGTCTTTTCAATACTCATGATGATGATTTTGTTGGGATGCATATGTGGTCTTTGCCTTCTGGTAGTCAAGCAGCCCCTGGTTTTCAGTTATTTGGTTCAGATGCAGATGTAACAGATGCCTTGGTTGATGTGCAGCACGGTTCTATCAATTGTCCAACTTCGGTTAATGGCAACACATTGACTGCAGAGAATGCCATGGGATCTGCTGCACTTGTTCCTGAGTCTTCTGTAAAGCATACTAATGTAAATGACGGATTAGTTGATAATCCTTTGGCATTTAGTGGTAATGATCCTTCGCTTCAAATATTTCTTCCGACAAGGCCATCCGATGCATCAGCACAGGCTGACAGGAGAGATCTTCCAGACGTTTCAAATGGTATTCGTAGTGAGGATTGGATTTCTCTCAGGCTTGGGGGTGGCAGTGCAGGGGGGCATGGTGAGCCTGCAGCTTCAAATATTTTAAGCTCCAGGAATCAATTACAATCCAAGGATGGTGCCTTGGATTCATTGGCGGACACTGGTACATGATGCTATAAACTGTTCGTTCATAATATTAGCTTCTTCTTTTTTCTTAATTTCTTTTTGAAACCACTATAAATTTTGCCTACGTGGTACCGATGAGTAATTTTTATATCCACGTGGCTTCATAATTATTATTATTATTATTATTTTTAAATCTATGCAAAATGTGTAAAACCAGCCATATTGCTTTGACCAAGTGAGAAATGAAACCCCACAGCATCTTCCTAGAATTGGTGGTGCAACCCTTGGCTTTTCCTAAAAGATCTTTTACAACAATGTTTAAATTAAAAAATGTTCATAGATGTCATAAGACACTTATTGCAATCACTTTTTCTTTTTAATTTTTGTCGCAGCTTCTTTACTTCTTGGTATGAATGACAAGAAGTCCGGTAAGACAAGTAGGGAAAGATCTGATAGTCCTTTTTCATTTCCTCGCCAACGGCGTTCTGTAAGACCAAGATTATACCTTTCTATTGATTCAGACTCTGAGTAAGGTTGTTCGCGACCATATTGGAGGACATTACTCCATATAAAGAAGTTATAATACTAGATGCATCTCGTTTGAAGAGATTCTCCAGAAGGGTTTGAAAATTTGTTATTGCTACCTAGTTGATCTGTATTTGAACAACGAAGAAGCTGGCTTCAGTATCTGCTATGGCAAAAAGGTAATTATCAGATAGCACTACAGCACTCAGTGTGCTGCCACCTGGAACATTACTTTTGATTGGTGAGCAGTTTTAACTCTGTTTTATTTATCAGAGTTAGTTTTGCACAATTCCTTGTGTTTTTCGACTTCATTATCATGGATCTGCCCTTCCTAATAGGTTAGAGGGACATTCTTTTTCTTCTCTTTTCTTGAAGGACCTGCAGATATCTTTCTGGTTGATTGTACATTTGGAAGTTGTTTTTATTTTGGGAAAAAAAAAAAAAAAACTATGTATTACTTCCTAGATGTAGTTAGCAGGCTTTAGAAGAGGAAAAACATTCTGGTTTTACTCTCTATAATATGAGCGAATTGCCTGTAAATGTGTCAACTTCACATTCAGCGACTTACATAGCAACTTAAGTTATATACTATTTTGGAGTGATTATTTAACCATGCAATATTTGTATTTGATGATCCTATTTACAATTCATTTATGCTGCGGAAATCTGAATTGGGGTTTGGTAGGGAAAGGTTTTGTATTTCTTGGTCGTGATATCTGCATTTAATTGTATTTGATTAGGAATTTTGCCGTGCTAAAGATGTATTGGGTTTGGAATTGAGGTCTATAATGTAATTTTGCTCGTAATGGATATCTACTAGACATCTCTATAATGTTTCAGTCGAACATACGGAACTGGACTGTGGTTTGTTTTATGACGAATCACTAACGAACCATACTCAATTTTGGTTAGCCCCTATCATCTTTGTTTTTGAATGTCATTGTTGGTGTTGATCGAGGTTAGTGGTTACACCTTTTCTCATGGCCTATTCTGTGATTGACTAATGCAGTAAAGCTCGGGGTGGTGGCGGGGGAGAAATTTTTGTTGAAATGAGGTTTAAGAAATGCTTAAATACATGCCTATAGAGAAAATTCCCTTTTTCTTTATAGGTATCCTGTTATGTATTTTAAATGTTGGCTTACTGCTGCAATGTTGACCACTTACCCTGCTTGAATCTCGTCCAAAACGAGCAATACCTTCTGAGACTACTCGACCAATGTAAGTACTTCCAAAACACGAGCAATGCCATCTGAGACTACTCGACCAATGTCTTCAACTTGGAAAAATTCTCCCTTTTTTTTTCAACGAGTTTTAGATTTTTAGATTGCACTCATAGGCAAGGAAAATGCTTCACTAGCCAAAACGTTATGGTTGCAGCGAATTGCTTCATTAATAATTTGAATTTACGATAACCAATTTGGACTACAAGAGCTAAATCTTGAAACTAGGCGTCAATAACCATTTTAATTTTCCAAAATCAAAGGGTGGATTTGGCTCTCTATGTTCGAGTCATTCACTATTTCTCTCGGTATTTGAATATTTTAACTATTTGCATCCAAAAAATAAAGAATTATGCTTGTTGTACAATGATTTTTACAACAAGTTTGATAACATGTTACGTGGAAGGTTATCATTGGACAGTTAGAAAAATAATTTATCTTTTTCATCAACACTTTTTGTACGTCTACATCATTGTCAAGCATGTTGTACAAATTCATTGTTCAAATGACTTATTCCAAAAAGAAAGAATCATGCTTGTTGTAAGATAAAGATGTGTAAGTGTGCTATTCACTTGTTTGAAAAGGCCTTTTGCAGCAACAATATTTAAGATATTTTTCGTAAAAACGAGACTATGGACTGATGGACATCCAAGCTATAGCAAAATAAGCCGTAAGCCTCTGTTTAATTTCTTTTAATTTATTTCTAATACAAATTTTTAATTATACATTTACACGATAAAAATGTTACCATACATTTTTAAAAAAATACTATTCAAAATTATGTTTTTTAAAGTTTAAGACCATCAAATATGGGCTAAGGCCGATCCTTTACGTACTTGTATCCTTTCATAATATCTGGCTTCAAGCATCCTATGCAACGACATTGCTCCTAATTTGGCGAACATGACATATCAGAACTTACAATATCTTTTGAAACTTTCATACCCCGAGTAAAAGCAGAAGCACAACTCAATAGTTTCTAAAATACATCAATGACAAAATGGATTTCTTTTCCTGCTGTTTCAAAAAAAATAAAAAAAAATTCTGGCATTCCTCGAAAAGTTAAGGATTAGTAATTTTTTTTTTTTTTTTTTAAGAAATCGAATGAATTCGGTCTTATACATATATGTGAGTATTTCTGTTCCAATTTTGCCTCCTCTTCTCCTTCTGAAACAAACGTTTTCTTGTCATGTCTCAACACATTGTGAAGCCATCTTCTCTTGCTCCACATATACCCTCCAGCATGTAAATTCACAAGCTCACTATATGTTTTTGAAAAGCAACTAAGCAAGCCTGAACAATGACCTTACCATCCTTTTTCTCCGATTTCGTGTGGACAATGAACAGGCTGTGAAGGGAGAGGTCACTCGAAATGACTTCTATATGAAGATATAGACGGAGAATAAACAAAAAAATTGAATAAAAGCCTCGTAAACTTCATGGATTTAAGCTGATCCATGACCAATCTTGTGATATATTATTGTATTCCTAGAATGGAGTATCACATAAAACTTTTACCTCACACCCCATCAATAATGCTAGACACTGAAGGCCTTTAGTCACTTCAAAATATTGTAAGCACGAGTTTTGGCATTCGGGCGAGAATGAAACAATGATTAAAATGCAGGATGATAACCACTTCCCCTAATAAAATCCTAAGCAACATAATTCTTATCTTAGAACAGTAAGAATACTGTTATTTGGGGAAAAGTTGTTGAAAAATTAATGCAAAAGAGAATGAGAAAAGAAAGAACAACAAAGGGTAGAATATAGAATAAACAATGAAGGCTTGAATACGAAATTAATCTCGCCGTCCTCAAATGTTATTAGCCTCCTTTCCAAATGCTTTTAAGGATTTCCGGCAAACTGTTCGTAGGATTAAATAAGCTTTGATGTGAATAACACCAAAAGCAAATATGTAACTTCACAATGAACAAGTGAAAATTGGGATGATTATGTGATAATTTCCTCAATATTTTGGAAGAATAATTTTGGGATAAATTTCAATGGAATTCAATATATCTTTCTTACACTTGGATCACCTATTTATGAGCCTTGACAAGTTTTTTACGAAATGGTGCAAAACAAGGATGAAAAGTCACAGTTTCCAATAAAAAAGATAAAAAATGGCTCACAACGGTCACTAACATCAACCATGCAACCACATAGGCGATAGCCATGCGGTCGCATGGTTATAGCATAGGCCCCCCTCAAATTCTCGGGAGGCCCTTATGTGACCGCATGGGCTTAATCCCTGCGGTCGCATAGTTAAGCCCTTTTTTTTCGATTTTGAACAACAAATAAATTTCCAACAAAAGTAACATCATTCTTATCTTAGAACAGTTCAGTAAGAATACTGTTATTCGTGGGAAAGCAAATTCAGGTGGCCAGTGCTGTCATCTGTCCTCACTATTGAGCCTTCAGATGTCTGAAGCTTTCACAGCCTGGGCAGTTGTGCAAGCCCTCGTGAATGTAAAGATCACAATTAAGACAGAAATGTTGTTTGCATTTCGGACAAGCAACAGAAAGACCTGGCAAGTTTCCTGCATCAACGTTAACCGACTCAACGTGGGAAAGAAGTATAATGCCAATAATGTATCTACAGCAATTACAAAGAAGCAAATTTTTAAATGCTAAGAAGAAGAAATCCACAATCCCGAGATGTTGAATCGATAATTTCCAGCACGTATATTGATTGCCTTAAAACAGGTGCTTCTCACAAGAGCTAGCACAGAGTATTAAATGGTTGGCACCATGGCTTAATATTCTATTGCCAGGGACAGCTTAGTGATTATAAATATCCTGTAAAGGAACCAGCACAAAACTGAAACAAACACAGTTGGAAGCTTATTTCTATGTTACAAGTGAGAATAGATATCGTGACATCAATCACCAAGGCAAAGTTACTTAGCCTCCGTATGGTTTCCAATTTATAAATGGTTTATAAATTTAGTCAAAGTCAAACATTTATTTCAATCGCACATTCATAACTATTACTCTTTTACTATCCACACATTTCGTAGGACATAAAAGCCCCTTTCTACCTCTATTTATAAGGATTTCCTAACTAATTCCCCCCACCCCCCACTTGCCCTTGTAACAGATTTATGTTGCTGCCCCCTCCTAGTTGCTCCTCAATTCTTCTTGTTTCTTCTAGCATAACTGTACTTGATAGGTGGCCTATCAGTTTCTCCCACAGCCCTTGGTGATTAACTTATAAAATGCTCCCTTCATTTCAAATTCAACGTCTCTTTGACTCCAAGTTTGAGAAAGTAGGAAATAATACTCCATCTATCCCATTTATATAGGCTTACTTTTCTTATTTTCTTGTCCCAATTATAAAGTTGTGTTTCTTTATTAAGAATGTTTTGCTTTATTCATTTACTAATATACCCTTATTTACTTTGCCTATTTATAATCAATTTTCCCCATTTAATCTTGAAATTGTACAAATATAAACAAGAGTAGACTCGAAAAGTTTTGACAAATTATTTTTCAATAAGAGTTCTTAATCTGTGTGAAAAATCAAATCAGACTATAGAAATGAGATAGAGGGTCAGGTCAAAGATGTATGGCATGAAATGAAATTTAGATTGCATCTCTCCCTTTTGGATGGGTAGTACTAACAATCTAAAAATAGATTGATGGATCATTTGGAATATGTGATGTACGATATTTTCATCCATTTGTCTTCTTCTCGTTGCAATAAAAGTTATTGCATTTCATATCCGTTCTTATAGTGTTGTTCGCACTTAATTAATTTAGACATATAAAATATGAACCACTCGAATGGTTCTTATTTTCGCATTGGTGTATGATGCTACTTTTATTAATGCATGATGCAAACAACAAAAAAATTTATTCCATTGTATTTTGGAGGCTTTTTGCTTTTCCATGTACATTATTGATAATTGAAAAAATCTCGTCTTAAGAAGAGCATCAACATGTGACTTTTGAATCTACTGCTGGTTAAAACTTGGGTTCGATTCAAGCATTTGTTGTTGCCCTTCCAAGTTGATCAATTTTTTTCCTGACAATTGCGACATATGCACCAACAAAATGACCGAGTTTTCATTTAATTTTCTAGTCAAGCTAATACTATATTCAATATCAAGTATTGATTTCATGTTATAATGTAGATATGGAGTATTGTGAATAAATGACTCTAAAGTCTTGATATTGAAATTGGGTCGAAAGGGATTCAAAGTTTTGAAATTGAAACGAGTCCAAAGTTTTTACGCAATGTTACCAGTTTTCAACATCATTCCAAGTTATGAGATTGATATGATCGTATTCATATGATGAAATACTCCAAGTTTGTGGGTTTGCTTATATTATTTATTATTTGCGATTTACAGAACAATCTTTACTTACAAAATTTCTCTAAACCCTTTTAAGGTGCATGATCATTGGAATTAGAGTTGGTCGAAGACTGAGATCCCAATAGAAAAAACCGAACAAGTTTATGATCATGTAACATTTTTTGCAATTTAAACTAGAATAAGATTTTTTTTTTTTTTTTTTTAAATGATGAGTTGCAATATACAAATCTTAATTTATGCAGTTTAGATAATAGTGAGGGTCTACATGTTTTGTAGTCTCCCCACTTATTGTATTGTTAATAACACATTATGTTTTTGCAATTATACCGTCGATCGCAGCATAATATTAATGTATGCACATTATGTTTAAAATATGGTTTCCATTTATGTTGCAACTTCCTGGGAGATATATATTGTTTATGAAAGCGATTAGTATGTGTTACAATGTAAGACATTCAAAATAGAAATAATATTCATAAACATAGGCTTATATGGGTTGTACATATTAATATTAATTTTATATAGATTTTAGTGCAAAAATTTATGTTGATCCTTTTGACATGTAATGAACTTGATGATGCATGTTGTAACTTATAGGTTATCCATTTGTTTTATAAATAGTCTTTTTATGTTATAACTTTATGTTATTACGTAATATTTAAATTTCAACATGACATTTATTCGAACACGTTCTAATAAAATATGTGATGCTAATTTACGTTGCATCCATTGCATTATGTTGCTGTTACTTACAATTTAAACGTTTACAAGAACAAATTGTAGTTTTTCTAAAATTATTTTCAAGCAGGTGTACTCATTTATATTTAAAAAATTACATTTTATACTTATAAATTCAATGTAAATTTTGAAGTTCAAGGTTTTCATACGAAGATATTTTCATTGATGTTAATGTTTTGTTGGTAACCCTTTAAGTTGCTAAAACGTTTGGATTTTAGAATATGGCGTGCTACACTAAAACTATAATAGAAGAATTACTTAATAATTAGTTTTTTGAGTGATACGGTTTATTATGTGTTGAAAAAAATCAATACTTGTTAGTTTTTTAGACATTAATTTGGGTGGTTTTGAAGCATCCCTTAACTAGTGTAATACATTTGTGTTGTAATTCTCAACTCACAAAATAGATAATTTTTCGTCTTTTTTGAATTTTACTCTCATATAATTATTTTATAAGCCAAAAATTCAATTATAAGTTAAAAAAAAATTGTTTATTAATAAAAAATACAATAATAAAAACTACTTATATAAGCGAAAAATTATTTACAATAAAAATGTACTTATAAATAAAAACATCACTTATAATATAAAATTCATTTTATGTAAAAAAATTGCTTTATAAAGTAAAAATAAAAAATAAAAAATAATAATACTATTAATAAGATAAAAATTCAATGTGCAGTAAAGTTACTTATAAGTACAAATTAACACATAACTACAAAATTTAATTGTATGTAAAGAATTATTTATAAATTAGTAATTTGATTATAAGTTAATACTTACTTTTAAGTTAAAAATGACTTATAAGTATAATATTAATCATGAGAAGAAATTTCACACGAAAAATTATAAATTAAAAATATCACTAGTGATGTACACATTCGCACCATATTATATGCACATACCTATTTTTTTTTTATATATGAATATATATGTAATTTTATTATTTTAGAAAATGATATTAAAAATCATTCAAAACCAAACCCTTCATTCAAAATCGATATTTTAGTACATTCTGATAATTAGTACCCAGAACTCACAAGCACACCCTTAATATTAACTAAATGCTAAAAACATTTAAAAAATTCACAAAAAAATGAAAAATAAAATAATGCAATAGGTTATGCAATTACAAGAATTAATTCTAGAAACAAACGTATTGTCAATCTAGTTGAATACTAGAATCAAACCTGGCTTGTTTGGTAGTTATTATGAAAATCAACTTTTTGGCCGTTATAGGGAAAATTAAATCTCATTTGTGAGTAAAAAAATAAAAAGTGACGACTGATTATTAGAAATAACGATTAAAAAATTGATTTTTTTTAGGATGAAGCCCATGTTTGTTTTTACTTTTTAGAAGAATGAGAATGAAAAATGTAGTCGTTACGGACCTCACACAGAGATAGAAATTCAAATTCGATTGCTTGATGTGATGAATAACGATCATATTTTTTATTTTTACGAGAAAATAATGAAAATCAAACAGGGCGAAAAATCAAAACCAAACCGGGGCTACTTTGATTTTATGCCCTTTTGAGTCTTTGACCCACTCAAAAACTGTTGGAATATTGATGGAACTATTTTTAAAACCTACGAAGTGTTTTATTAACAGCTTGTTTGGGAGCGATTTTTCGCTTCAAAAAATTAATTTTTTGATCGTTATTTCACTATTTCAGTCGTCATATTTGATTTCTTCTCTTACAAGTGAACCCCATTTTTCCCCTAACGATAAAAAAATCAATTTCTCAAAATCACTCCCAAACAGTCTCTAAATTTTCCTCAATTTGTTTAGAAATAAGAAACAATTTTTATTAAAAATTTGAGTTGTATTTGTTGATACTTCCTATGTCTAAAAAGGTTAGAAAATCGTTTTCGACAACACCAATTTCCTTTTACAGATCCTCGCCGTACATTTCTCCTCTGCAAATCGGCACGATTTTTTTTTGGTAAAAAATAATCATTTTATTAATAAAATTCCTAATTTGCTTGTCCCAACGGCTGTTAATTAGTTTATTCATCATTTTGGTGATTTATTAAGAATCAGACCATCAATTGCGTTGCCCATTTCTCCCTCATGTTAATGAACGTCGCAAAAAGCAGGTAAAAAAAAAAGAAAAAAAAGAGTGATTTTAATGGCTCTAATTTGAAATTTTGGACATAATTTCATTATCATTACTGGATGTCGTCATTTTCTGAATATTGTGGATGTAGCATTTTGTCCTTTTATTGAATTAGCCTATTATTCAAATCAATCTGCTTTCGTATTGAAGTTATTTTGTTTGCTAATGAATAAATTATAGTATTGCCATCAATGACAATGAATGTTAATTATGTTTATTCTTTTCTGTTTACTGATTGGACAGAAGTTCAAGTCATTATGGATTTAAGGCTTGAAAAAGTAGGGTTTTGCCTGCATTCAATTGTGCTCTGTTTTGTAAAATAATAATAATTAAACTGGAGGCTTTATTTTGTTGGGGTTGAGTCGCAACGGGATCAATTCGGCCAACTGTGTCTTTCATTTTGCTGAATGACACTCCCTGGAATAGCATAGCTGATTGGTACTTCGAAGCGCTCTTCAGAATTTCCTCTACCCGTAGGTATTCATCAACATTTTTTTTTTCTCTTTCTAATCTTAGTTTTATTGATAAATTTTAGAATTCAATAATCTATTTTTAACAGTCTTGAATGTAGCCCTTGTTGTTGGGATTTGTGCTAAGTCTTCTGATCTTGATGGAACCTGTGCCAATTTCGATTCCAAGACTGCAATCCCATGTGCTAAATGCAGCAGACTTATTTTTCTTTGATGATTATTGAATTAGCGGTTAATTCTAACTGTTTGTTTTACTGACTTTCAGGTTTTGCTATCGATTTTATTCGCCATAAATTGTGAATCGGTGGACAGTTTTAGTTTTGTTAAGTCAAGCTCAATTGCCTGAGGGACATAAATGGGTTGCTGTTGGTTGTTTGAGTTTTCATTTTCTAGGAAACCTAAGAAGGGAATGGGATCCAGCAGTGGGTCGGGTTGTCATACTTCACAGGCGTCGTTGTTGTCTAATGAGGGGGAAGATGATGATTGTGGTTCTTACAATGGTTACATGACAGATATTGGGAGTGCAGATGACTGTGAGTTCCAAAGCCCAACAAAACGATCTGAGGAAATCCTCGTGTACAGGATGCAGTGTGGGTTGATTTGCAGGGAATTTCCTGTTAAAGAAACCCACGAACTCATTCGCTCAGAGGTAAGAAGGATAACAAATGTACTTTTCATTTCAACAGCCTTTATTGGAAATTTTCACTTTTAAGCAAGGCGTTGGTGGGTATTTGACATATGTTCATATATTAATGCGCTAAATAACTTGCTTATATTTTCCCAGCTAGGCAAGTTTGTTATGTAGAATGCTTCCCTATGAGCCATATTCAGATTATTTATTTTTGTCGAGAAAGCTAGGTTTGTAGTAGAACATGTCGCTACGAATACCTTGGTTTCTGTTATGTAGTTCATACATGGAGTCTGAATTGCAGTAGTTAATTTGACGAGCCCCTCCCCCAAACCTTAAGAAGCATCGACATGGGCACGAGTGTTGGACATGACAAAGACATGCAAACGTGCAATTTTTCAAAAAAGTGTTGACAAGCTGATTAAAATAACATAATTTTTTTAATATTCTAAAGTAAATTAATTTTTGTTAATTTCGGTAACCGAGAATTTATCTCTGAGCATGACGGGAATGGATTTCCAAACGTGTCCAAATGCACAAAACCAGAATATAATTTGGAAACACCACTTGACGTTTCCATCATGTGTCGGTGTCTAACATGATGTATCTCTTAGCATGTTGGCAATGCTTGGCAACTTGTCCACCTGTACAAAGCCAAAAAATAATAATTTGGACACGCCACCTCGTGTTTTCAACAATTGTCGGTGTCGTGTGGTGCTGACATGATGCATATCTCGGTGTGTTGGCAATGTGTCAACAACATGTCCGGCTGTACAAAACTAATGAAATATTTTGGACGCGCCACTTGGTGTTTCCGACACTTGTGTCATGTCTTGCTAGTACTGGCAGGGCATCGGTACATCCTAGCCCAAATTTAAATTAAAAAAAAAATAAAAACAAAGCCAGAAGGAAAAGAAAGAGAATAGGATTTTTTCTGCCTAGATAATAAAGTAATAAATCCCTTCAGAAACCTATGTGCTTCCATGATGTGGTCTTGGGCAACGAAGAACATGTGCACTGTGGCTTTGTTTTGCTCAACGTTATGCATTTTGTATTAGTGCACCATGAAAAATAAAACATCTGATCCATAAAGTTGGGGGGTGGCGGTTCAGGGAGTGGGGTTGTAAATTAATCCGAGTCTACAGAATTAGATGAAGGTCAGTGCATATCTTTAATTCTTTATACTAGATGAATGAGGTTGGCCACAAGTTCTTACTACTTTAACTAAGCGTGCATATGCAAATTCATATATTTTTATTTGAATGAAATGTTTTATTTATCTAGAGTATGTATGTGGGGGTTGTACATCAATCCGAGCCTATACAGAAATAGATGAAGGTCAATACATATCTTTAATTCTTTATGCTAGATGAATGAGGTTGGTTACAAATGCTTAACACTTCAACTAAATATGCATTTGCAAATTCATAGATTATTATTTGAATGGAACTTTTCTTTAATCCGTATTATGTAGTATGCTAGTCAAAAACTCATGTGCAGGCATTGACTTATATAGGACGAAAATGGGAACAAGATGGTTAATGAATATGTTCGTGAATACAAAATTGGTGCTGGTAGCTACGGAAAAGTGGTGAGTGCATTGCCACAGTACCATATCATCTAGCTATACTCGACTGAATCTAATTTGTAGTTTCATGCCCTGCAAATGTTACAGGTTCTCTACCGTAGTCAATTAGATGGGAAACATTACGCGATAAAGGTAGTGTCTTCATTTATACTTGCTCAAGTATTATCAGGATATACTCTTTCTACTGTTGGATTCTTTTGAAGTTTTTCTTTTGGAATAGAGTTCTGACAGTTGTGACCTGGGTCAAATCTTTGCTATACAAAAGAATAATCACTGAAAAGGCTTGTGATTTTGAGTATTTGTGTGCCCAAATTTGGTAAACAGTGGAGAGGCTTCCTGTATTTATTTTGTGATGAAGGATTTCTGTCTAGGAGATGAGTCCTGGATATTTTGAGCCTGACCTTACAAGGATGTTTCCACATCTCCAAATACTCTTTGCTTGTTAGATTTTCAAATCCACTGCAGAAGATGTGGTGCTTGGTCCAATTTAGTCAGTAATCTAGTGGATTTATTAGTATTCATGAAAATAAAATCGAAAACTTCTGGAAAATGAGTACTTTCAATAGACAATAGTGGCTTAACATGGTAGCTACTCTTGATATTTGGATGCAGAGCTTTCATAAGTCTCATTTACTAAAGAAGCGGGTTGCGGCTTCAGAAACTGCCATGAGTGATGTTCTACGTGAGGTATTTTACATCTTATCTTAGTGTATAGTTTTAGATTGCGAGAATTTTCAACCTTAGGTTTTGTCATGATTTTTGGATCTTGCATTCTTTATGTGGTTCGGCGTGTATACCATAATGTATCTTATTGCTTTTTGGCCTGCAGAACCTGTAATCCAGTCCATATAAGCTTTTTTTTTTATTATGATAAGCGATGTATTAATACTAATGTGCTGATCACCATTATTATTGTTACCATATAATATGACAGCATGCTATCTATAAACCTGAGATGGACCAGTCTGTTTATTCCTTTGTTCATCTATGAATTGCGTTTTACTCTCCAATTCGGACGAATGGTACACTAAATCTTACTTTATGTTTTTAGGTTCTAATTATGAAAATGTTAAGCCATCCGAATATAGTTAATCTCGTTGAGGTGATTGATGACCCAGCAACAGATCACTTCTACATGGGTATTATCTGCTATTAAATTTTTTGCTCCCTTCGTGCGGCTGAAGTTGTCTGTTTGTTTGACTGCAAAACTTCTTTTGTTCAGTTCTTGAATATGTGAAAGGCAAATGGGTCTACGAAGGTGCTGGTCCTCCAGGTGGTATTGGAGAACATACAGCACGAAAGTACTTGCGGGATATAGTATCTGGGTTGATGTATCTTCATGCTCATGTATGACTCTCGGTCAACTTCTGTCCATTTCTTATGTCATCTTGTGTTCAAAGTAACATATCTAATCAATAGTTGATTTTTATGTTCTGATTTTACTAAATAGTCCAGTTAAGTTGGGATTGCCCTTTTTGACTTCTATACAATGACATTCTGATTCCCAGTATTGTCAATTAATTTTATGGATCCCAATAGATCATGCAAACGAACCTTTTTATTATACAAAATCGGGTTGACATGGATGGTCACTAAATTTTAATTTTTGTTACAGGTTGGTTATTTAGTTTGTCCCTGTAACTTTGCATTAATGGAATTGACAATGTGCTCGATGGAGTTGATGTGTGGCTAATAGAATTGATTCTTGACATAAAAAATAGAAACCCGCTTCCTCTATCTTCCAGCTCAGCAAGTCCCATATTTGGGGACAAAACTTGATTGCGAAATTCGATTTTTCTGAAAATCAAACTTGAGGTTTAAAATTTTCCAGGATATAATCATCATGTTGAAAACCCAAATCTATAATGGCCTGTCCAATATGCATTCAATACATAAGGTGGTCCTGGCTTGCTTCTTTCTCAAAGAGGAAAAAAAATATATGGAAAATTTACGTAAGAAAATTATGGCTCCTTTTTTTCTTTAAAAGTTTTGAAATTATTTGTTATTTGATTGAGGACCCTTTTCAACGTTGATTATGTGGGTGTTTTCATAATTAATTCTTGAGGAGAAACTTGGTGTCTCTTTTTCTCTCTCTAATTTTCCTCTTATAGTTTTTCCCAAACACCTGGGTTTTATTCTAGAGAATTTCAAAGTGTGGAATTTTAAGGAATCAATCATCGACATACAGAATTGGAGAAGAATACTGCTGTAAGGTCTGTGTGATATTGATGTTCACAACTTGATTTTGCCAATTCAACCAAGAGATCAGATAAAGAGTTTGGAGATTTCACTTGTTGAATTTGACTTGATTTCAGTTTCAGATTCATGATAGATATTATTTATTTAATTTTTGGAAAGATCGCAATTTCTAAACTTGCTTTTGTCCGGAATTACTCAATTTGAGCTGGAAGAGAGAGGAAGTGGGTTTTATGCTGAGTAATCATTTCAGTTAGCCACATCATCAACTTCGTCCACCATGTTGTCAATTCCATTAAGGTAATTAACAAAGACAAACTGAGTTATTAACCTGAAGAAAACATAAACTTTAGTGACTTCGGTGACTAGCAGGGTCTTTAACCCCGAAACATTGCATTTACAAAATTATAGAATGATATGTTGGTCTAACACCAATTTTTGGCAATCTAAACACGGTTTAAAATGTGCAGATTTCTTGCTGAGTTTAGTGTTTTTTGACCTAAAAATGATCGTGAACTCTTTGGACATGTTGGATTGACTAACATTTGGGTTCTTCACAGTAAATTGTTATATTCTTGTATCATCTGCAATAATGTGTTAAGAGACTTGTAATAGCCAGTATAAAACAAAGTATGTTATCTAAGCATTCAACTAAATCATATTTCTTGGAAATTCCACTTAGAAGTCTTCCATTGTATAAATTTCTCCCAGTTTACAATAGCATCACTTTCAACTTCCTCACCCTCAGGTGGGGTTCTCACACATCCTTGGAACTTGATCTTTTACCATGGGACAGTGAGAAGAGAAAATAATGAAATTTTGATGCTTCTTAGAGGCTGCTATCTGTTGTAAGAGTGATCTTTTCTCGTCATTGCGCTTTAAAGATACAGTATTCTGGTAAATACCTGTTTTTCATTCTTAAATGATGAAAAAGTTTTGGTTTGTTTGATTTTCTGCAATTAAATCAGCATGAATTGCTCAAATTTCTCTATGGATACTAAATTGCGTGTTAGGGAATGCATTAAAAGCATTTTCTTCTACGTATCACACCGTATAAGGGGGAAAAACCTACTTTTATTTTTTATTTATTATTATTATTATATTCAGTTTGTATGAGTTTAATATCTTAATTTACCCTTATTGTCAAATTGAGATTCTCAAAGTATTTTTGGTTCAAGTATGGCGCTGTTACAGAACTTGATTGACCACGTCTTTTAAGTCATCATAATGGTTGAATTATGAATTGAAATTTCTAATTGTAGAGGTGTCTGCCTGATAAACATGTGCTTACCATGCATTAAATTGAGGCACAATGCTTAATCTTAGAACAGCGCAAAATGGCTAGTTGCCCCTCCTATCATTTTCTTGGGAAAATTGCAGCTGAGACTCTAAACCTTTCAAACAGTTGCATACTTTTCCCTAACCTTTTATTTGTAACAATCGTCATCTCAAACCTTTCAAAACGTTGCGGATCAAGCCTCAATGGATGGATTTCATCCATATTTTTGTTAGTTGACCCAAAAATTTGACTTTGAACACATTTTAATCAATTATGAAGGGACAAAATCGTAACATTATATTTTTCACATTAAAACTTAAATTGAAAACAACAAAAGAAGAAGAAAATAAAATGAAAAGGGAAAAAATCTCTTCTTCTTCCTTATCCCCACCCCAACCGGAAATCCACCATCACCACCAACTAGCCCAAAATCGACCACCCCCCAACAACCATCGCCGCCGCCACCACCACCACCACATCCATCATCACATCCCAAATAGCAACCATAAAATCTAAACAATCCATCAACTCTTATCTTCAACCTCTATCTCTCTGGCCGATTTTGAAACCAGATCTGTCTCAGCCTTCACTCCGTTACTCTCCTCGAAAACCCATTAAATCAATCATTCTGCCAGTTTTCAAGTTAATAAGGTTGGGGTTTTATCGCCGCCTTTAGAACCCCAAATTGTGGATCTGTACAATTATAATGGTCATATTAAGTGCCTTAAAAGGTTATTATAATAGGTAATTAAGCTGTGCTACGGACTAAAGTTCTTTATTTTTGCTAATTTTTATTTAACAAATTTTCTCTTTCTAATTTGTGCTTCTTTAAAATCTATAATAGAGGTTGTATGGGTTTGTGACGTGCTTGGTTGCTGGCATAAATTGCACACTCTTGGGAGGTGGTAGATTTTGGGCGAGGTGGTGGTGACAGTGGATTTCTGGTTGGGCGCCGTGGTGGGGGTGAGGGTGAGGAAGAAGAAGAGATTTTTTCCCTTTTCATTTTATTTTCTTCTTCTTTTGTTGTTTTCAATTTAAGTTTTAATGTGAAAAATATAAATTTACGATTTTGTCCCCTCATAATTGATTAAAATGCGGTTAAAGTCAAATTTTTGGGTCAACTAACAGAAATATGGACGGAATCCGTCCATTGGGGCTTGATCTGCAACGTTTTGAAAGGTTTGGGGTGACGGCTGTTACAAATGAAAGGTTAGGGGAAAGTCTGCAACTGTTTGAAAGGTTTGGGGTCTTAGCTGCAATTTTCCCCATTTTCTTTGCAGCACAAATTGTAATCATCTCGATTCATTTTGCTTTCAGTTAAACTAACGTGGTTCACTATTTCTTCAATCTAACAGAATATAGTTCATGGAGATATTAAACCTGATAATCTTTTAGTTACTGGTTCTGGCACAGTTAAGATTGGGGATTTCGGCGTCAGCCAGATTTTTGAGGTAAGAATTGTTTTCTTACTATAACTTTTGTCAAGTTTCAGAACCACAGTTATGTAAACGTACAAAAGGAGGAGATTGCCTTTTCCTGCCAGTGAAAGTGGGTCATGTTGAGAGAAATTCTGCTCTATTATGAATGTCACATTTGCAAGAACAAGGTTAATTTCATAAGAGGGATAAAGAAGTTTGCTTCTAAAGTTAAAGTCCAAGCATACTGCTTATGAGTAATTGTCGGATAAGTGTTTTGAAATAGCGTAAAACTTAGGTCTTCATCTGATACCACAGTTATGTAAACGTACAAAAGGAGGAGATTGCCTTTTCCTGCCAGTGAAAGTGGGTCATGTTGAGAGAAATTCTGCTCTATTATGAATGTCACATTTGCAAGAACAAGGTTAATTTCATAAGAGGGATAAAGAAGTTTGCTTCTAAAGTTAAAGTCCAAGCATACTGCTTATGAGTAATTGTCAAAACAGGGAACACATTTTCCAAAATGGTTTTGGTGTAGTTTAAATTTTTTAGGCACATTCCATGCACTCTTACTGTTGCTTTGTAAGCAAAAATAGGCTGATCACATTATATGACTCCCAACTGTCTTTTATTGTATAAATTTTCTGCTTGTTTATTTTCTTTTGATGTTCAGTTACGTTTATTCTGTTACTTTCAGCACAAGGTTGACATCAAACTTTCTGCTCAAGCATTCATTTATGAGAAGAAATAGAATGAATGGTGTTTATATTTTTCTTTCAGAAGGCATTATGATTTGACATGAATTTGCATAATGTTTCCTTTGTATGGATTGTATCTTTTTGCGGACTAATCTTTAATATTTCGATGAATGTTAAATTGAATACATAGGTCCTGTTTGGGCTCCATTAAAATGAGTTTTTGGGGGGAAAATGTGTTTTGGAATAGTTATTTTTTTGGAGAATGTGTGGGTAAAAAATAATAAAAAGTTTTTGGTTTACGCGTAAATAATAATTTTATTGGATAATATGTGGTTGAAATTGAGTTTTTGGAAATATGGAGCTCAAACAAGGATAAAATGATTTGCTGCTCTCATGTCCCTGAAAATGTGCTTGGAACTCTGTTTTCAGACTGACATTTGTAACTTATTCATTTGAAAGCAACACATTCTTATTGCTGTTATTCCAGCATCATCTTGTTTAGCTCATCCGATATGGAAAAGGCTAATCTGAGCATGGTTCTGAATTCAGAACATGGACGATTTTAGACTTCAATTTTTTAGCCGAGTGTCAATTTTTGAGCCAAGTTTGTCCCGTTTTAGACATTGAATTGAGAAACTACCGGTTGGAGTCCCTATGGAAGGCTGTAAGTCAGCAGTCCTAGACGTGGTCTAATGACATGCAGGATATGAGTTACACCATTTTAGTGGAGTTCATTTGTGTCTTCAGATGTTGTAGTTTCTAGAATGGAAATGCATTTTTTGTTTTGTGATTTTTTTTTTCCAATTTCTACGTGCTCAGGAACTAGTGTAATTTTTTCATAACGTTTTTTGTAGGATGATAATGATGAACTACGTCGTTCTCCAGGGACTCCTGTATTTACAGCACCTGAGTGCTGCTTAGGTCAGAGTTCCTTTCTTATTTAAAAAGGATTGTTTATGAACCTGATATGTATAAAATATGGAAATTATTCACAACTCACGATAGGTAGTTCTTACAATTAGGTCCAACTTATCACGGCAAAGCTGCTGACATCTGGGCCGTTGGAGTTACTTTCTATTATATGGTTCTGGGAAAATACCCTTTTCTAGGAGACACACTGCATGATACATATGACAAGGTATACGGAGATTGCTCTGTCTCTCTTTTTTTTAATATATTTTCTGCATTCACGTAGATGTAGATTCCAGGTGTTAGTAAACCTGTTGGTTCAGTCTTATATCTTTTGGGTTTGTATCTATAACTGTTGGTATTTACCTTATCCAGATAGTAAATGATCCAATGTATCTTCCTGATGAGATGAACCCTCTTTTGAAGAACCTGCTTGAGGGGCTTCTCCATAAAGGTCGGTTTGTGTCATTTGTATTGTAATATCACCCGACTCAATTTATTCCTTTATTGATGAAATGCAGATGGAGTTCTATTCTGTCCCTTTTGCCTTAACAATGATTCCGTTGCAGATCCAAGACAGAGAATGACCCTTGAGAACGTTGCAGACCATGCATGGGTCATTGGAGAAGAAGGCCCCATACATCAGTTTGTCTGTTGGTGCAAGTATAACTGCCTGCGTAGGGAACAGTCTCCTGTTAGTCCAACAGATGTGCCTACTTTCCAATACTAACGGAAATGTGTTGCTGCTAGTATGGGTTCATTTATGTATAGCAATGGGTAGGATATCTACCTAATTGTAGCGAGACAAACAAGTACAGATAGCAAAGGTTAGATCAAAAAGAAATTATAGTGCAAGAAATGACGAAACCCAGTTGGATTAACTGAACTTTTAGTCATATCAGAAGGTAATTATAGTGCAAGAAATGAGAAACCTGGTCGGGTTAGCTGAACTTCTAGTTATATTACAGACATTTAGGTAGAGAGAGAGAGGTCTCGACGGAAATCGTAGAGATGCTTTTCGAGTAATCTTTTCATAAGATTATATGTTTTGTAGGGATTTTTCTCCTTTATGTTAGTGTTAATATGTGATGTTTTCTTCTATATAAACTTGAACTTAAATCTTTTTTTGTGTCCTGATGGAAGTCCAAGGATTTATGTCAAAGGGCTGTGCTCATTTGCAGATTACTTGAGATTTATGCTGTCATATCAAAATATTGTTGTTTCATAGTAAATACTAAATAATTGATCAAAACTTGAGTATCGATTTTACTGAAGGTTAACTTGGTCGATCAAGAAGTTTAAAAGAACTATTTTTTCCATCCTTGTAATACAAAAATAATTGTTCGTGTAAGAATTGGCAGACAAAATTTGCTTGGTAATAATTAAAACTCTGAGGCCATGTTGGTTTTGTTCCATTTTTGTGTTAGGGGAGAGCTTTTTGCATGGCGAATTGAGGAAGAATGTGAAGGCAAATAAAATTGTGTTTGAAGATAGATTCTCGAGGGAATCCACATTATACAAGTTGAATGATGCTGGTCTGATAGGGTGAAATTACCAGGTTCGCTATGGTTCCTCACACTGAGGTGGCCCCCACCTCAATCCCACATGTAATAAAAAATTGCAAAAAATAGGGCTAATCCACCCATTGTGAGGAGCTTATGGAACACCTATAAGGTGTGTAGCCTTGCAGTGTAGTCTGATTTTATAGAAGTTTGTTTTTAGGTGAAAATACAGAATTTACACTGGAAAATGGGGCGGTGAGAGGAAGAATTGGCACGTTGCATGAGGAATGCTAAGAATGTGCAGCTGAGTCGAGTGGATGATAGCAGAAGCCTATGTCGTCAACACATTGCCCTCAATCTTTCTCCTCTTAGATATCGATTTCTATGGTTTTAACAAGTCAAGTTACTACCTTTTAGGAAAGCAAGTTTAATTCGTATTTGTGCCTGGATAAATTACAGTTAGTTAGATTGATAGTTACTCAAAAGTATGGAAAACATCCTTATGTTCAAAGGCTTTACCATTGTAGGGATGTGAACACAAAGGAAAGTGATATTCTAATAAAGAAACACATAAAAGGACAAGTGAAATGAATATTTGCATTTCTTTGCCGTTCGTAGTAAGTGTAACTTGGTCATCATTTTCAAATTTGGTAGAGTCTAGGATGAGAATTGCGATAATTTGGAGGTCAAAGCTCCCTCGATTGAACCTACAATAATTATTTATTTCCTCGTTGCCATACGAACAATATGTTTATAGTTAAATATATTATTTATTTTGACTTCACCAAAAAGGTATTTTCAAATGAGTATAACTACTTGTTTCAACCATAGACCAGACCTACCAAGTTGATGTGTTTGGTAATTTGTTGAGCTACAAGACTTCAACTCTTTCTTTAAAAAGTCGAGATATGTTGTACAAATAACGATATAGCACAACAAGAACCACCAAGCCAATGTGATAAGGAAAACCAAGGTCAAAGACAGTAAGTTAACAAAGTCAAAGTCTAGAAGAAAATTTTTAACTTGATACAGAAGCTTGAAAGTAGACATAATTGTTGAGCTAATACTAGACAAGGATTACGAGAAGGCCCGTGATATTTCTATGGGAAAAGAGGCCAATAATTCCTAGTGAGGCAACATATAAAGTCTTGATATTGGATTGGACCCAACCATGTACAGAATAAGTAGATCGATAAGTCGCTCAATGTTAACGCACATCTTTGAAGTTCCAAGATAGAAATTTTTGTTATCTGAGTTAGAGGCTGATAGTGTTGTAGCCCAATGGAAAAGCAATACCTTTGGCTGCTGGATTTGTGAGTCAGGCATCAGCGAGGGAAGCTGCTGACCTTGTGGTCGATATGATACGCCAAAAGAAGATGGCTGGACGTACATTGTTACTTGCTGGTCCCCCTGGTACCGGGGAAAACCGCTCTCGCCTTAGAAATATCCCAAGAACTTGGTAACAAGGTGTAGGAATTGGTTCAAATAATTAACCAAAAATTGAAAAATAAAAAGGTGTGACTACGTGTCAACTTCGACCAAATATTCGGATTTGATCCGATGGTCAAATTACAAAAGTAAATAGACCAACTTATTTTACTCGTCGAGTAGATCGTCGTGGTATATTTGAAATTTTGAAACCAATTCCGGATGAATGAGAAATTGAGGACCAAATTTGGAAGAAATGAAGTGTTGCAATTTTTCGAAAGGATATAAATTTTGGCCAAGCGTTGCAACTTTTTGAAAGGATGCATGTTTTGGTCCACACTACATTTGCACCCTTTCTACATCTATAAATAGAACCTATGGACATGGTTTTGGGTATACCAATTGCATTGAGCATTCATTCTCCTCTTGCAATTCTCTCTTTTCTAATTCCATAGCATTTTCATACATTTTCTTTGTAGAGTGGAAATTCTCTCAAAAGTTCGTCGATTTCTTGTGGCTTAAAGTGCTACTACCACAAGTTGTGAATCCATTGTATCTTGGGAGACAAGTGCCATTCACCGTGAGCACCGTAGCGGGACAATTTGTCTTAAAAAAAAAGATAACGTCTCGCATTGGATAATTCTCTATTTCTATTCCTTCTTAATCCTTGTTTTGCGTAATCTTTATACCGAGACTCTATTCAAATTTCCATTCATATAAATTGTGTTTTGATCACGCTCTTACGGGTTAAAATTGGTCAAACAAATATATCAAAAACCAATCATTACATAACCTTTTTTATAAGTCGTCTCCAACAATCTTAAGACAAATTTTGTGTCTTTGTGGTTGGTTGTGGATAAACATTACTTTGTTTGAATAGTGATTTGTGTACTATTCCTCCACCGATATTATCATCATTTTGTTGAACTTCTGTTTGTGTAACAGAAATGACTACCATTGGGACTTCGTCAAGTCAAAATGGTTCCAATAATGTGATACGACCCGTGGTCATACCGTTGCATAATACTACTATCCCATATGGGAAAAAGTCGGATAAAATTTGCAGGAATAGACTTCAAGAGGTGGCAACAAAAGATGTTGTTTTATCTCACCACTCTTAATTTGGCTAAATTTCTAAAGAAAACTGCACCGACTGTACAAGAAGGGGAAAATAATCATGAATCAATTATTGCTTTGGATGCATGGAAACACTTGAACTTCCTATGCAAGATTATATCCTAAACGCATTGGATAATACACTATATGGGGTGTATAGTTCAAAGGAATCAGCCAAGGAACTATGAGATTCTTTGGAGACAAAGTATAAGACCGAGGATGCCGGAACAAAGAAGTTTATTGTTGGCTAATTTTTGGACTACAAGATGGTGAATTCCAAAACCGTAATTAGCCAAGTGCAAGAAATTCAAGTCTTGTTGCACAACATCCACGTCGAGAAAATGGAATTAAGTGAATCATTCCAAGTGCCTGCCATTATTGAGAAACTCCCTCCTATGTGGAGAGATTTCAAAAATTACCTCAAGCACAAACGCAAGGAAATGAACTTGGAAGAATTGATTGTGCGCTTGAGGATTGAAGAGGACAATCGAAAAATCGAACGAAGGCCAGT